CCCTTATTTAAAGAAGGAAGGCAGCAAATGTTGTACATGCTGGTTACAGTGCATTTCTCTCTGAAATTCTGAGGAAAATGGGTCGTTCCAGACATTGTTCAGAAGACCAGCGTACCTTGGTTAAAAAGTTGATTGGGGAGGGGAAAACATATAAAGAAGTGCAGAAAATGATAGGCTGCTCAGCTAAAATGATCGAAAATGCTTTAAAATGGCAACCAAAACCTGAAAGACGTGGAAGAAAGCAAAAAACTACCATTCGAATGGATAGAAGAATAGCCAAAATGGCAAGGGCTCAGCCAACAATCAGCTCCAGGAAGATCAAAGAAGATCTAAAGTTACCTGTGAGTACTGTTACAATTAGAAGACGCCTATGTGAAGCCAAGCTATCAAGAGAAGCCCCCGCAAAGTCCCACTATTGAAAAAAAGACGTGCTGAAGAGGTTACAATTTGCCAAAGAGCACATTGACTGGCCTAAAGAGAAATGGTGCAACATTTTGTGGACTGATGAAAGTAAGATTGTTCTTTTGGGGTCTAGTGGCTGGAGACAGTTTGTCAGATGACCCCCAAACACTGACTTCAAGCCACAGTACACTGTGAAGAAAGTGAAGCATGGTTGCGCAAGCATCATGATATGGGGATGTTTCTCATATTATGGTGTTGGGCCTATTTATGGCATACCACGGATCATGGATCAGTTTGAATACATCAGAATACTTGAAGAGGTCATGCTGCCTTATGCTGAAGAGGAAATGCCTTGAAATGGGTGTTCCAACAAGACAACCACCCCAAACACACAAGTAAACCTGCAACATCTTGGTTCCAGACCAACAAGATTGACGTTATGGAGTGGCCAGCCCAATCCCCGGATCTTTATCCAATAGAAAACTTGTGGGGTGACATCAAAAATGCAGTTTCTGAGGCAAAACCAAGAAATGGAGAAGAACTGTGGAATGTAGTCCAATCATCCTGGGCTGGAATACCTGTTCACAGGTGCCAGAAGTTGGTTGACTCCATGCAACACAGATGTACAACAGTTCTCAGAAACAGTGCTTATACAACTAAATATTAATTAAGTGATTCAAAGGAAAGCAAAATCTTCAAACGTTTTTCAGTTTATATAGTGAATGTTTGAGTTTGTAAAGAAGAATACAAACACTGCTATTTTGAACAGTCTAATATTCACTTTTCTTCAAATTTTTTAGAGGAACAACACAAATTTGATATATTTTTCTTCATGTTTTGATTTGGAATAGAATGTGTAGTGTTCCCAATGCATTTGTGTGTATGGAAATAAAAGCTATTAGAAGGATTTTGAGCTTTATTCACTTTTTTCAACACACTGCTATTATTTTGAACACAACTGTACATCACCCACTGTGTCAGGAATCCTGTATAGTAATAACGTGTGGTGCTCTCACCTGCAGGAGGCAAATATGTACTGGAAATTGAGTCATAAATAAACATAGCGTGATTTGTTATGGGAAGCGCTGTCTTGCTTTGCATGTAAAGTGATTTGCATTGCGGAGCATGACATGCTGTGCTGTACGTTTTCCAAGGGATTACAGTGCAGATGCACCTTTTGGTTTCATGATTATAGTGATTGGTGGTAGTCCTGTTGAAAGATCACACAAACAGAATTCTTCTAATGGCATCTGGGTTGACATGTATTTGTCTGCCGGAGATGCACATCAGGTGAAAACTATCTTCTGTGAGTTTGATCACTCCTAATAGAAATTCCGAAATCTATGTGCTGGAACAGCTGACATGTACTGTATATTCTTTATAGTTATGATCTTTATTGTATATCTATATTGGTTCAGCTTGTACAAATTGTAAGTGTGTATATTTCATATATGAAGGGTTGCGGGGAAGGTGTCAAACACTGTAGTAGGCAGCACTACCACAGTGATAGCCATGATTATCCAGGTCCTGTACCAAGCAGCTGCCCTACAGGGGGGTCGCTCTCGCAGCCCTGCCACCTTCTGTATTACAATCATATTAATAGCTAGCATCCCTGCTTTAATAGTTACTTCATTCTTAGATTGTAAGTTCTAACAAGCAGGGCCCTCTGTTTCCTCTTGTACCAAATTGTATTGTAACTGTAATTATTATTATTATTATTACAGGTATATATATAGCGCTGTCCATTTACGCAGCACTTTACATATATATTGTACATTCACAGCAGTCCCTAACCCTCAAGGGGCGTACAATCTAAGGTCCCTAACTCACATTCATACATATACAGTTGTGTCCAAAATTATTCAACCCCCAATGCTGTAAAGGGGTTTAGGGACTATAGTGTACATTTGGAATTGTATTCAGAATCAAATCCTACAAGGACGTTGTAACTACCCAAATGCAACTAAAATGACATCAATTGTTTATGTAATACAGTAGTAAATGGTTCTTATGTGGTTTCTCTTCATTGCCACAATTATTCAACCCCTTAAAGACTACCACTCTGAAGAACAGAGGTTCATACAGGTGCTTTCCATCAGGTATTGAAAACACCTGTGGATGTCACCGAGCAGCAATCAAGCATAATAAGCACCAATTAGGCAGCTTTAAAATGACTGTGATACTCAGCTCCTTCTAGACATTTACTGGTGTGGTTACAAACATGGTGAAGGCAAGAGAATGGTCCAGGAAGACAAGAGAAGAGGTGATTTCTCTTCACAGGAAGGGCAATGGCTATAAGAAGATTGCAAAGATGTTAAAAGTGAAGAGGACATGAGCAAGCATCATGATATGGGAAGCATTTTCGCAAATTAAGGCAAAGGGCACTGTTGAAACGCTACCTCCATGGTCGTGGCAGAAAGAAGATGCTGACTTCGACTGCTGTGAATACGCTACCATGAAGCCTAGAGTGGAAGAAATCCCGTGTGAAATGCTGAGGTTCCAACTGAGAAAAGATTTGTCAGATGTGGGTACAGAACATCTTTCAGCCCAGACAATAAGACGCACACTATGCGTAATGAAGCCTCCCCGTGCCAGAACTCCCAGGCGTACCCCCAAAAAATGCTGTCTCCAAAGAATAATGAGAAGAACTGACTGCATGTATGCCAAAAGCCTGTGGACAAACCACAAAAGTTGGTTGGGATGTGTTCTCAGTGGACTGATGAAACTAAATATTAATTAACTGTTTCAAAGGGCCCAATCTTCAAACGCTATTCAGTTTATATAGTGAATGTTTGAGTTTGAAAGAACAATACAAACACTATGATGAAAGTCTAATACACTTGCCTACTTTTTTAGAGGAAGCACAAATGGTGATATATTTTTCTTCATGTTTTGGGGCTGTTGTGCTAGTCTTCCCAATGCATTTGTGTGTATGGAAGCTTCAAAGCTATTAGCAAGGATACCATTATTCTCTTCAGTACCAGGAGATATTGGATGGAAACACAACTGATACTGCAGTCCGTGTCAGGACACCTGAGGCTAATGTGAGACGTTGGACTTTCACCTGCAGGACAAATGATGTACAAGCATACCTCCATAAATCCAAAAACTAGAGCATGGTTGCATGAGGAAAGCGCTGGAACATTTTGGATGTGGCCATCGCGGAGTCACCAGACTTAAATCCGATTACAGAACCCTTTTGGTGGGACTTTTAAAGAAAGCAGTCCTGTTGAAAGATCACACAAACAGAATTCTTCTAATGGGCATCTGTGTTGACATGGCCTTTGTCTGCCATGAGATGCACATCAGGGCGAAATACCCTTCTGTGAGTTTGATCACTGCAATAGAATATTCAAATCTATGTGCTGGAACAAGCTGATGTACTGTTCATAGTTATGATCTTTATTGTATATCTAATTGGTTCAGCTTGTACAAATGTAAAAGGATGCTGTCATATATGAAGGGTAAGATGAATGTCACTTGGGGGTTGACTATGATAGCCACTGATAATGCCTGTGAAGCAGCTGCCAGAAAGCCATTTGCCACCTTCTGTATTACAATCATTATAATACTGTTATGTTTAATAGTTACTTCATTCTTAGATTGTAAGTTCTAACAAGCAAGGCCTCTTTAATCTAAATGTACCAAATTGTATTGTAACTGAATGATCAAAAGCAATGTCCAACTGGCACAACATAATATTGTACATTCACAGCAGTCCCTAACCCTGGGGCGTTGAATCTAAGGTCCCTAACTCACACATACTGTACATACTAGGGCCAATTTAGACAGGATCCAATTAACCTACCAGCATGTCTTTGGAGTGTGGGAGGAAACCGGAGTACCCAGAGGAAACCCACGCAGACACAGGGAGAACATGCAAACTCCAGGCAGGTGGTGCCATGGTTGGTATTCGAACCAACGACCCTAGTATTACAAGGTGAAAGTGTTAACCATTTAGCCACCGTGTTGCCTTTAATGTCTACCTTCATTTTGTAAAGCTCTGCGCAAACTGTTGGCACTATATAAATCCTGTATTATTATAATAATAATAATATTATCTGGTGGGTCCAGACAAACATCATCTGGAAATTTGCCATCTAGAAATCTGTCTATATTCCTCTTTAGCATTTTACTTTGTTTCAGTACTGTCATTTCAGTCACATTAAATGAAGACGTGCCCTGAATTATGTAATGGAGTGTTGGAATACAGTGTTCATGCATTCTTTGTGCAACAACTACAGATATATTCTTCAGTCAGTAGATGGCAGTGTTTATAAGTTTGTATCTGCATCTATGATAGAACTCTATCTTTTCTCTATAATAAAAGTTCCTGTTTCCTGTTACCAGAGAATCAGCAAACAGACACGTGGACTGTGCACTGTCTGTTCTGTAGGGCTATATACAGAATCTCTAACAAGGAGAAATTTTAGAAAGCATATTTGATATAAAAGATAATTGTCTTTTGTAAGAAATAATTAAACATTTTATACATTTATAAGTCATAAGTGGATATGTTTTTATATATTGAAGGTTTTTTTCTCTCTTTTCAGTGTGCAAGGTGGAAGGGAACTTAACCCACATGTTAGTGGTCTAGGATGGCCAGTGAAGGCTCCAATATCCCTAGTCCTGTGGTGCGACAGATCGACAAGCAGTTCCTAATCTGCAGTATATGCCTCGACCGCTACAAAAATCCCAAAGTTCTTCCCTGTCTGCATACATTTTGTGAGAGGTGAGTTATCCTAGAGTGTAATAGTGCCATGCTTTCCTCACAATATCAGTCACCCATCAATCATATCCTCAAAACAATAAATAGGAGGGACTGGATGACGTCACTTCACTCGCGGTCAGCTGACAAACTGGAATGATGGATCGTGTATGTGAGAGCGAGGGGATATTTATGTATGCATACGGTGTTGGATACTGATATATTATGCGCATGATATTTGGTCCATTGGGGCACCTACACAATGTGAGTTGCCAATTTTAATTAAATAAACGGTTTTAAGGATAAAGAACTATTGTTTTTTTGTCTATATATTTTCGGTATATGCATGCCGAATGGAGGAGGAGGTAAGAAGTTGGCCGTTACCCATTGAAGGAAGACTCTGATTCAAGAGACATCTTAACCCTATGTTCACTTCAGGGACACAAGCATTTTTTGACCAAACTTTATGTGAGGTCAAAAGCTCCAGGTGAGGGCACATCTGGTGTTTTGCTGGTGGAGAAGCACAAAGCAAGATCAAGAAGATATGGCGTGATTATGGGAATGCAATTAATCATTTGATGACTGTTGAGAAGAAACACTAAAAGAGGCTCGGTGTATTATTGGGACTATTTTTGCAATATTTTGAAGCGTTAGGTTATTTGTTTTGAGGATATGATTGATGGGCTTTCTTGGTAATTAATATTTTTATATATTTTCTATAAAATTGTATTTTAATTTTTATAATTTTTTTAAACTGCTCATGGGATTATATTGTATTATTTATCCTAGAGTGTGCAGTTATATTTTATCTATGCTAGAGGAATGTTGAGGACAATATATGAAAATGCAATAGTGCAAGGACTGTACCCACTATTTTAGCAAAAAAAAAAGATTTGTTCCAATACATTTGCTTTCTCCAGACACTGTGTAATGTCTGTCATGTGCAGGCAGCTGCTAATCATCCACAAATAACAGCCAGCTATTGCTCATTGCCAAAACGAATCTCTCTTTTTTTATATTTTCAATGTCTTTAATATGTTATATCGCACTGTACATCATCATTTGAGTTATTATAATCATTATAATTGAGCAGTCACATGATACAGAAGTCATGCTGCCTCCCAGGCATTCAAGCCCACTTAAAGTGCACTTAAGTGTTACTAAACCCAGGACCCTGCATTCACTATATCTGGTCTCCCACAGTACACAGAACATGGAAATGCAACTATATTAGTTAATATATACTGCTAAATACATTTTCTCATTAGCAGTGAGAGCAGTTTTGTGACTTCTATCAGTGTCCAGCAGAGCACTGGTTAACGTTTGTAAGGAGGAGTTTTAATTCTCCCCTGATTGTCCCATGAGGCTGCAGGACCCCTGACCCTCTTTCTGAACAGCGCTGATTGGCCCTGTGCTGATCACATGCAGACTCCCCAGAAAAAAAAAAATCTAGCAATAGATACCAAACTGGGCATGTGCAGCTGGCCCCCAAGGCTCTGTTCTATCAGCAATTGGCTTGGGGACAGTAAAAGAAGGGGAGGATCAAATATCCTTTTCACACAATGCAGAGGATTAACCCCGTAGGTTTCACAGTGAGTATAACAAGCATGCTTTACTGCATATACAGATTGATTTTACTGTTGTAGGTTTAGTAACACTTTTAAGGTGGAATTCCAGTCAAAATTGAAAATTTTCCCATTATTACTATGTTAAATATCTTTAATGTTGATATTCTACATTTTCAGACTTGCTGATTGTCTAGCTTAAACTAATCTGGGCTAGACAATCAGCTGTCTTCTGTTCTTTACCGACCACAGTTCAGCTGAATTTAGCAGCTCACAGGCACTTCCTGAAACCGTTGTCGGTCTCTGTGTGAGAAATCCAGCTGAGGGTTCAGTAAACCTGCCCCTGTTCTTCCCAGTCCTGCCCAGCACTGCCCCCATCCCTCCCCGCCATTGGCAGAATGTGCAGCATCTCCTCCTTTCTTCCAAGCCCCATTTTGGCATAGGGCAGGGGGTATCAAACTGGTGGCCCTCCAGCTGTTGCAAAACTACAAGTCCCATCATGCCTCTGCCTTTGGAAGTCATGCTTGTAACTGTTAATCTTGCAATGCCTTATGGGACTTGTAGTTTGGCAACAGCTGGAGGGCCGCCAGTTTGACACCTGTGCAGCATAGAGCATTGACAAACAGCAGCTAATGTAAGGCTGTAAATCACACTGCACCTGTACACACACACACACACACACACACACACGCACACACACACTTTTATGTTACAGTCGCACTACAAGGTGGAATCGTGGCATTAAGATATAATGCTCATTGTAGATGTGAACTGAGCTCAGAGCCCCAGGTCCCCCTGCATCCAGCTCCCTCTTCCCTGTGGTAGTCTTGATGCAAAGCCCTGCACAGCTCTAGTGTCTATGTGCACTGGACCTCCCAGCCCTCCTGTGGGTATGGTTCTTTTTTAATTTTCTCATGAATGAGGATGTACAAGCATCCTTATTCATGAGAGAGCACTGACCAGGGAACCTCTGATCAGCTCCTCCCATCCTGTATATGACCACTGGCTACACAGGAACAATGTAACTTCCTGGAAGTGATGCCACTACCCTTCAGTGAATACTACTGGCTGCTCTTAGACTCAGAAGGAAGAGTATTGAAGTCATGTGACAGGCACTGGATACTGCAACATAAAGGTACAAACACTGGAATCTTTTTCATTTTGACACATAAGGCTGAACTTCGCTTACAATAATGATTGCAGTGGAGAATTTATGTTTTGGCTTTCATTCCACTTCAACCGCTTCCCTTCCATCCTATAGCAGAAGTACTGCTACAGGGCAGCACGGGTGTGCAAAATCATGTGTATATATATACATGATTTTTCCAGGTAGGGGGCGCACGTGTTCTACCCGCACCGCCGTTCGTGGCCTCGGCTGTCAATCAGCAGGTCTCGATCGGTGATTACTCGCCGGCGCCCGGTGATTGCCGAACATGTCCGACGGAGGGAACTGTTTGTAAACAATACAGTTCTCTCTCCTGTCAGCTCCTTCACTCTGCTTTGAATGGCTGTGCATAGCACAGCCATACAAAGCAGTGTGCTTACAGTGAAGCGCACACACATGTGTAGCACTGCCCCTTGGGACAAGCTGGAATATATTATGGGTCCTGCGCTCAATAGATCCAACCCTAAGCAAACCCAATCCCTCTGGCACAACTGGTAATGAATAGCAAATACCCCGCCAAGAAATTTGCTGACACAGGGTTAAATTAAACAAGAACAATTTTATGGAGAATGAAATGCAGTGTAGAGGGGTGGGGTTCCCCTTTCAACTTCAAAACTTACTTTTCTTCTTTTATGCAATGCAGTAAATTTGGTCTGCCACTAGAGGGCTTCACAGCCAAGAGTCTCCGGATGGCAGAGTCGCACTTTAAGCAGAATACAACTGATATCAAACAAATAAACTTACTTATACTCTATCAATGAAATGTATTACCCACACCGGGGTATGATTCTGCTTCTGAGGGGCGTTGGCCAAAAATCACCTCAGAGTCAGAACAGAATGCAATAAAGAGGTACCTCTAATAAGGCTACTAAGCCAGATTCCCCCACTTCAGTCCTTGTAACGGTGGAGCTCTAGTTGGTGCACGTTTAGTCTTTACAATGAAGTAAATAGCAGCTGAAGGCTTCTTTGGAGTTTCAGCTGGTGTGGGTTACATTCAATTTCACTAGGTTTCTGGGCTGAGAGGGTCCAACCTCAGTGTCTAAACACAACACAAAGCACCCCAAGACCAGGGGCAGTCGCAGGATGCAATCTCCCAGTATGTGTCAGTCCCCGGGGCAGACAGTCTCAATTACACTGGTGGTGAGGGGCAAAGCAGGCAGGAGGATCTGTGGCTTGCACAGGGCCCCGGATGGGTGAGATCCCAGCAGTGGGGTGCGGATGTCCCAGTCTATATGCAAAGTGTAAATGGTGTGTCTTACTCTCTCCAGGGGGACAGGCTTGCTCACCAGACTCTGAACACACAGCAGGGTCCCTCTATCCGCGCTGGGTGCTGTAGTGCCTCCTCCTCTGCTTGGACGGACTCCACATGTCCCTGTCTTTTCTCCAGCCTCGTGTCTCTCTGTTCTCCCCTTCACTTCCTGCTTCCTCCCCCCTTCCAGCGTTCTTTGCTGTGTAGTGGATGAGTCATGAACTTGGCAGAATGCCCAGGTTTTACAAATAGGGGAGAGAGAGGACGGACTGCTGAACGTGTGATAAATCCTCTTGTACAAGGAGCCTGCTACACATGTAAAACAGCACACAGTTAACCCTTTGATTGCCCCACATGTTAACCCCTTCCTGCCCAGTGCCATTAGTACAGTGTCAGTGCTTTTTTTTAGCACTAATCACTGTTTTGTCACTGGGGATGTCAATGACACAAAGTCAGTTCCCCCCAGTGTCAGAATGCCCACCGCAGTCCCACTATTAGTCGCTGATTGCCGCCATTGTAAAAAAAGAAAAAAAAATCCCAGTATACATACTGCCATTTGTAAACACTATACTTTAATCAGTAAACCAATTAATTTACATGTGTTGGGATTTTTTTTTGCAAAGAAATGTAGCAGAACACATTTTTGGTCTAAATTTATGACGAAATTTGATTTTTTTTTTTTTTTTAATTTTTTTTACTGGACATGTTTAATAGCAAAAAGTCAAAAATATTTTTTTGTTTTGTTTTTTTTTCTCAAAATTGACTGTTTTTTTTTTTTGTTTTTTATAACGCAAAAAATAAAAAAACACACAGGCTATCAAATACCACCTAAAGAATGCTCTATTTTTGGGAAAAAAAGGACGTAAATTTAATTTGGGTGCAGCTTGGCATGACCACCCAATTATCAGTTAAAGTAACACAGCGCCGCAATGCAAAAAAAATGACCTGGTCAGGAAGGGGGGTAAATCCTCTGGAGGGCAAGTGGTTAAAGCAGACCTTCACACATTACAAAAATTGTTTCTCTTTTGGCTCCCCTCCCTCCCCCTTTCTTTAAGAAATGGTGTGTTTGACCACAGTGCTTCTTGATTTATTTGTTAGGCCAGAAGTATGTAGCAGTGTCCTAATACCTCTTAGAATTGCCACTTCAAATTCCAAGAGGTATTGTTTTATTAGGAGCACAGGCGCACTAGATTCTGCCCATACGCAGATTTCATTTGGTTATCTGCCAGGTATTCAAGACCTGGAAGGACCTACAGCATGTTTGCGCATGTGCAGGAGATCCCCCATGCATGTGCACAGATGCTATGGGTCTGTACAAGGTCCCTGATATCAGAATCTAGCCGTATCTATGCAAATGTGCAGGGATCGCCCTTGCATGCACAGTCATGCTGCAGGACCCGAATACCTGGCAGAGACCTGTGTCAAATCTGCGCATGTGTAAGATGTTTAAGGATGGTGATGCAGGATCGGGGAGATGGTAGGGAAATATTGCGGAGGTGAAGTTCCTCTTAAAGGAATCAACATTTATATGTCCTAGTAATACAATCCCACAGTCCTCTATACAAAAACTCAACTTTCTAAGGTCAACATTGATCTAACACTCACAGTATTTAAACATCCTAAAACCTGGTATCCTTTGCCAAAGTGAATGGAATGTGCTTCTTTTCTTCAACCACTGGATGGATCTATGCATGTAGCAGGTTTATGATCAGAATCACCAATAGGAGAAGACCTTGTAGCACAGATCTTGAGCATCCTAGAGTTTACATAATTCCCTTTCTCGAGTTTCATGGGACATCGTGGATTTATATACTGACAACTATTGCAGTGTTGGGGTGCCAGGGGACTTATATGCACAATCAGGATTTAGGAAGATCTCAGGAGGCATAGAAATATTTCAGTATTATATATGATATATTTGCAGTGTGGGCATTCAAATGTATATTGCTATTTTTCCTGAATTATTCTAAGCATATTTGGCTACTGTTTTTTGGCCCAGCTCCATACAGAGAGTAACCATCCTTGTCTCTTCTTGGCAGGTGTTTTGCAGAACTACATTCCAGCTCACAGTTTGACCCTCTCTTGTCCAGTCTGTCGCCAGACTTCAATTCTACCCGAGAAGGGTGTGTCTGCGCTACAGAACAACTTCTTCATTACTAACCTGATGGATGTGCTGCAGAGGAGTCCAGATAATGGTATTGAAGAGTCCTCCATACTGGAGACAGTGAATGCTGTTGCTGCTGGAAAACCTTTGTCTTGTCCCAACCATGATGGAAATGTAAGAAATCCAACAATAAAGAAATAACCGAACCACACATGGTGCAGTAAAATAAAAACAAAGCTGCAAAGTAATGTAAATAGGTGACTATGGGGACAAACTAGAGAGTAAATAGAAACAATATTGAACCCAGATTGCACCATTTCATATATTCACAAGCTGTTGTCACCTAGTGCCAAATAGCTTGCACTATATTTCATGCTCGATTGCCCTTGGCTCTCCAGTGCTTCCCTGCATGCCTTTCTATCCTTCTCCACACATCACATCACATCACCCATCACCCGGCTTACCTCATCCCCGCTTCAGTCTATCCTGAATTCTGCGGCTAGACTCATCCACCTTACTAACCGCTCCGTATCCGCCACCCCCCCTCTGCCAATCCCTCCACTGGCTTCCGATTGCCCAACGCATAAAATTCAAACTACTAACATTGACGTACAAAGCTGTCCATAACACTGCCCCAAACTACATCACCGACCGAATATCCATATACCACCCAAAACGTAATCTCCAGCTCCTCACAAGACCTCCTACTCTCTAGTTCCCTAGTCTCTTCCTCCCATGCCCGTCTCCAGGACTTCTCCAGGGCTTCCCCCATCCTCTGGAACTCACTACCTCAATCCATCAGACTGTCACCTACCCTCCTCACCTTTAGGCGCACCCTGAAAACCCATCTCTTCAGGGAAGCCTACCCCGCCCTCACCTAATTGCCGATCTCCTCCACTCTTCCTACCACTCCATCCCCCACAGCTATTTCCTCCTGTACCACTATCCCCTCCCTCCTAGATTGTAAGCTCCAAGGAGTAGGGCCCTCGAACCCCTCGTGTATTGTATTGTTACTGTACCGTCTCGTGTACTGTCTCCCATTGTAATGTACAGCGCTGAGCAAACTGTTGGCGCTATATAAATACTGTATAATAATCACAATGAAATATGGATTGTCATAGACACAAACCCCATGTATAAGCCTTGCTGGAGCACAGTGGTCACCTTTCCTAAATGTACTGGAGCTGGATGCCATCACTATTATTCATCACTGTTCCACCATTTGATAACTGCCAGTGTTTAGCACTAGCAGTTTGTGTCAGTGAGCCAAAGTTACTGCCATTGCCACCTTCTTGTGACATTGTCAGAAAGCGGGCTTTAATTGTCTGCACTTCTCATTACTTGATCTGATTAGCTTATTTCCATCACACACCATATTTCGGTAGACCTTATTGGTCAGGGTCCTGTGATAATCTTCCACTAGCATTACATTAAACATAAGTAGAACTATGTCACCATCACAAGTTGGATCTCTCTGCAACGTCCATATGTTTATTATGAGATGTCAACATTATACTGCAAGACTTTGGAGCCACACAGGATCAATTCCTTAGGCATGTGGGATATCGCTGGGTCAGTGTGGTATGCTGTTTTTGCTAGCCAGAATACAATAGCTCAGTGGTAAGGATTCCCCCAACCACCTCGAATATGTGGATGGGGTAATGGGGTAATTTTTTTTTTTTTCCTCTTCAACCTGCTGATTGAACAAACAGACTCATTTATGGGCTGCTTTACTGGCCTGATGAACAAGTAACATTGACTTATAAAGCTGTTCATAATACTGCCCCAAACTACATCACTGATCTGGTATCAAATACCACCCAAAACGTACTCTCCACTCCTCACAAGACCTCCTACTCTCTAGTTCCCTGGTCTCCTTCTCCAGGACTTCTCCAGGGCTTCCCCCATCCTCTGGAACTCCCTACCCCAATCCATCAGACTATCACCTACTCTCGTCACCTTTAGGCGCATTTTGAAAACCTATCTCTTCAGGGAAGCCTACCCCGCCCTCAGCTAATTACTGAACTCCTCCACTCTTCCTACCACTCCATCCCCCAAAGATATTTCCTCCTGTACCACTATCCCCTTCCCCGTAGACTGTAAGCTCCAATGAGCAGGAACCTCGAACCCCTCCTGTATTGAATTGTATTGTTACTGTACTGTCTCCCATTATAATATAATGTACAGCGCTGAGCAAACTGTTGGCGCTATATAAATCCTGTATAATAATAAAAAGGGGAAAAGCATGAAAAAAGAAAACTAATGCAGCCACCACACCTAAGAATTGGTAAGCTGCAATATATAATATAAAATATATTTTGTTTATTTTTTTTTCAGTTTTCAATGGTTTTAATGCCAGCATCTCATATATATGAATGGGATGCCCTTCAGTATTGCCATGCGAATGGCTTGCCCTTTAACAGAGAAAAGTGAAGGGATCTGATTAAATAGACTGAAGATTCTAACTGCTGTATATACAATTTTGTTAATTTAACCTAACAAATCCCATTGACCTTGTTAATTGTGAACTAATCACTAATTCCTTTGTACATCGTGTGTAAAGCTAAAAAGCAATCATCCAAATTATGAGCTGGTTCTTGCAATTTGTTGTTATGAGCCTGTAGATAAAATTTGGCCATATAGTGACAGAATATGGGATTATTTTATATTATTGGAGATCTATAAATGCCCTCCCCCCCAAACGCTGCAGGATTTATTTATCTGTGTAACTGTGTTTCATCAACTACCTCCTAGTCTTCTCTACATATACACAAGGATGTTAAAGTGGACTTTTCAGTAAGTTTTACAAGGATCTGTACAAAATATTCTGACATCACAATATACAGAAACTGTAATATTTTTCAAAAAGCTCTACCTTTTATCATTAAAGGAGAAATTGGGGATTACTAAAAAAAAAATCGAACATACATACCGCCATGCTGCAATATTGATGTATGGCTTTGACCATACTTCTCTTTTAAAAAGCAGTTTATGAGCATCAGGGTGGTGACTTTGCCTAGGCCAGGATAATACCATCAGACTGCTGCAGGCATAATGAAGCATTTCCTCATTCTCCTTTCCCAGAGTAATCAGACTGCAAGGTGAGAGGCTGATGATATTATGAGCAGAAGTACTGTCCTCTTTGTGAGAGGTAATAAATAGCTGTAAGGCACCCTTTGCACCTTTGCGGTGCGATACACACATTACGTTGCGTGTTAATATTCCATGCCTTATTTATTTTGAACGGGCTACAAAGGCACCAGTAGGGACAAAAAACACACTATTTTTCCTGAACAAAATGTACAAGAGCGCATTGTAGTGTGTTCCCATGGGTTGTTTTAGTGCATTGATGTGCTAGTCAAAATTAATGACACTGCAACACATACAAAATGTGGTACCATGCATTGCCCGACTACTGCAGTGCAAAGGTATGAAACCAGCTTTAGACATTACATAACTTGCCCACTTTTAACCTAAAAATTGATTTCATCATAGGTCCACTTTAATTAAACTGAATTTAAATGCGCAGAGAACAGCATTTTGAAAAATTATTTAAATTGATTTAATGATATTGGACGTTGCCAAGGCATTTTCTGAAAGCAGTGCGCCTGTGTGCAAGATCATGAGTTGGGCCCCTTCCTGTGTCCAGGCTCATATCAGTCCATAGTTAAATAGCATAAAAAATATGTAAGCATTAACAATACCCATAAAGGGTCATCTGCCTGGCTTTAAAGCTAAAAAGTCAAAAAACAGTGTGACAAAATATCACAATGTGACCATGACTAGTAATATGAAGGACCTTTAAAGCGGTAGTAAACCGCAGGTGAAAAAAAAAAATCCCTTGCAAGGTAATGTCATAATATGCTAGTATGCATTGCGTACTAGCACATTATGAAGGACTTGCCTTAACCCTTTGAGGACCAAGGGACATATTTGTCCCATGTTTTTAATTGCCTGTATCATCTGATTAAGAACTTAAAACACTTTTTTTTGGTTTGAGTCAAAATATTAGTTCTTATCAACAAATGGATCTAGCTTTTTGCCAATTATTTCATGAAATGGCTTAGTTACAGCAACTAAAGTGTACGAACTTTAAAAACAAAAAATTGATTCTTTTGGCGTTCCGTAATCTTATGGTCCTCCAAAGGGTTAAAACAAAGTCCTCCAGAGGCGTGCTGTCACTGCTGCAGAGGCTTCCATCTTCACCTGTTTTTCCTTCTGGGTTCGTGAGCTTTGACCATCTGACTGGCTGAGCCGCGATGACATCACTCCAGCACGTTTAGGAGATATTATTTTACCTCCATGTAAGCTTTATTATGGGCTTACATCTAGGTATAAGTTAAACCCAAAAAAAAAAAGTTTACTACCACTTTAACTCTTTCACTTCCAGAGATGTTTTTGCATTTTTTGCACACATGTTAAAATAAACTTTTTATGACCCATTACCCACATTTGATCCAGAGGAAGGCAAAACCCCAGCAAAGCATGATATAATTTGCTCCTGCAAGGGAACAAATTACGCCAATCCAGTGGTACTATGCCAGTCATTAAAGAGTACCTAAAAATTAGAAACCATGGCTTTGAAATGACAAACCTCAATTCTATTAGAACCCGTGGGTGTATGCCATTTGGTCCAGGTGCTTTATTCACTTTTATTCTGTCAATACTTCTGGACCAGATCAATTTTGAGCCATTGTGGATCATTTGGAGTTGTGTCAATACCATGCCCATTATAGACATGAGCTCCGCTATGTTCATTTGTATACACAGAGCTTAAGCTGGTATTTAATAAATTTGCCTTCTCTTTGGCCCCAGTCACTCACTTTATATTATTTTGTAAAGGGCCTACATGTTCGGACTGGACCTTTTTTACTATTCATACAGTATAGTTGAAAATTTTTTGGATGTTTGTCCTGCTATCTTTTGCAATCTGTTGTCGTTTTCATTTTTTGCGACCTTGATTTCCTTTTTACATATTCTGTACTATTCTTTGTAATATTTAAATGACGATAGTGTTTCTTCATTTTTATATTTTTAAAAGCTCTTATTATTTATAGCTTTTTTTAACTTTAGCTGTAAGCCACATAGGTTTTATTTTTAGCCTTTTAAACTTGTTGCCCATAGGAATTTATTTTGCAGTGTATTTTCATACAGTCTAGAACTTCCATTTCTGTTCAGTGTTCACCAAAGTCAATATTCCCTCCCAGTCTTGGAGATCAGCCCTCATACTTGAAAAAATTGCTCTTTCCTGTATGTGCTTGTTGTATACATTAACAATAAATAAAATCATGTTATGGTCACTATTACCCAAATGTTCCTTTTATATGAACATTAGTAATAAACTCAGCATGGTTTTAGATTAACAGATCCAGCAGAGCATCATTCCTAGGTGGGGCCTCTATGAACTATACCATGAAATTGTCTTGTAATAGGTTTAGAAATGTTTGCCCTTTAATTGTTCCTGCAGTATCATTGCTCCAGTCAATTTTCGGGTAGTTAAAATCCCCCATTATTATCACTGTCCCAGCCCTTCTGATCTGTGCAAGGAGCTGAGTCTCCAACTCATTATTAACACTGGGTGGTCTATAATAAACACCAGTGATTACCTTTTATAGTACACACACCCATGTGCAGTTCCACCCATAATGCTTCAGCCTTATCACACTATCAACTAGGTCCTCTTTCACACTCGGTTTGAGATCACTTCTCACATGTGTAACACACCCAGTCTCTCCGAAAGAGAGCATAGCCAGGAATATTATTAGCCCAGTCATGTGAAGACTGAAGCCAAGATTCAGCAATATCAATTAAATCATAGTTCTCTTCATGCACCAAAGCTCCCCTAGGTGATGATTTTTAGTGATAGGTTCTCGTTAATGAGACATTCAGGGTCTAAACGACCCTGGATGTCTCCTCTGGGCTGCACTGAATGTATTGCAATGCAGATGGCATTGCAATACATTCCTTACTGGCTAGAATAGTGACAGGGTGACCCTGAAGTGGCCTCCATATATGTTGATTTACAGGTTACATTAAGAAGGAGAGGACGTGTGTCTGCTCTCAACCCTCCCTCCCCCCCTCCACCCGTCTTGTAAGCCCTGGGCCCGCAGATAGGCAAGCGGAGCCCAAAATGCATGGCAACCACCCAACTGCTTTCACTTGACAGGCGGGGGTCTGCTTGTGAGTACACAATCCCAGTGCTACCGGATTGTGTGTAAACCCCTCCGTTGTCAGGTCAGTACAATGTATGGACCTGGCAGCGAAAGTGCTAAGGGGGATGATTAAACAAAACCTGTACCTATTCCCTATACGCACTGCACACATATAGTGCCTTGAACCCACAACATATCGTTAATAGTGACAAAGAAAGAAATGCCATGGCATCAGTGTGAGGAAAAACTGTCCTTGCATTGTTGGTGTCAATGGAAATAAAAAATGTCCCTGCGTTGGTGGGATCACTGGAAGTAAAAAATGCCTCTGCATTGATGTCGATGGGAGAAAAAGAAGCAGGACAAAGATGGGGGGAAGTTGGTGGTGGGGGTAGGCAGTACAGAGGGGTCAGTTAATGGTGGGGACAGGCAGTACAGAGGGGAAGTTGATCGTGGGGACAGGCAGTATGGAGAGGACAGTTTTATGGTGTGGACTGACATATAAAGGGGCATGTAATAGTGGAGAACAAGCAGTACAGAGATTAGGAGAAAGTAGTACATACAAGTTCCATCACCCCCTCCCCCCCCCCCCAATAAGTCTCAGTTGAACCCAATCATTGCCCCCACACTTAAGCCTCCCTTGGGTTCTGGCCCACCCAACAGTTGGTAGCAGATTTGGAGTCCATTTATGGGCTGTAGGACTGCTCTCTCTCCAGCCCTGGTTTATATAGGTTTGGAGTTCCTTGCTGCCAATCCACCCAAAACCATTGCAGGCCCCTCCCCACTCTCATCTCCCAGGCCATGCTGTCTAATCAAGCAGCAGGGAGGAGAGAGATCCAGTATGGCATCCACTGTGTCCCGGCTGTAAACATAGGGGAAACACTAATAAAAACATTGTTTGTTTTTTAGCTAAAAATGAGGTGGAAAAGTAGTGTGCCTACTTTGTATGTAGTTTCAGTTCCAAACATGATCTGCATCTATGTTATTTTATGTTCTGCTGCAGGTAATGGAATTTTACTGCCAGTCATGTGAGACTGCTATGTGCCAAGACTGTACTGGAGGGGAGCATGCCGAGCACCCCACAGTTCCACTCAAAGATGTGGTGGAACAACATAAGGCAGCGCTGCAGGCTCAGCTAGATGCTGTTAAGAAAAGGTACTGTAATGAATCTTTATTCCATCTTCTAATGTACCAGCATAGCTTGATTAATGAGCATTGGGTATTAAGTAATTGCACATGACTCAAAGACAGCCAAGGAGAAAAATACAACACTATAATACCGCAAGGCGTGCTTACAATAGACAGTTTATTGCAGTATCTTAAATCTTAAAAAATGTCTCTGCAATTGAAGCATAATGACAGTATTAAGCTTTGTTTACAGCGGGGTGGCAAGGGATTGCTTTTCAGAAGGGCAGTAGAGACTGTCACCTATGTAAATGTGGAATTATAGTTCGCCCTGACTTCTGTTACTTTTGCTGGACACATTGATGTGTGTGTGTGCAATCCCTTTGTACGCCTTGTTTCTGTTAGTGTTAATGTCCTTTTATATTCCCCCATTTGACAGTATGCGGGTTAGGAAGGTGGCTGCTCAGGACTGAGCACTTCATCCTAGGTGGAAAAAGAGAGAGCCACATGCTCCCACATACCCAGAAGTATCAAGTATTTCTGAGGGATACAGTAGTGAAGGAGCATGGCGAAAACGAGCATTAGTGGATATGAGAGCTTTGTTTTTGGGAGAACTTGTCACTTTTTCCTGAATGGGTAAAATGACAGATTCCCTTTTTATGTATAAAAGGGAAACTCAGGATACAGAGATAGGGACATACTCAAATTTTACAGGAAATATTTTTAAGCTGCCATAGCCTAATGGAACTTATGAGTTACGTTTCATAAGGTACTAAGTTTGAATTGTCCAGATGTGGGAGAAGTTTACTTTAAACGTATTTTAGTTTTTAAATTGTAATTTTCACATAATTTTATGTCCTGCTTATTTTTGTTGCACATGATATATTTCTTATAGAGATTTATGTAACATGTTTAGGTTACCAGAAATAGACTCGGCCCTTCATGTTGTGTCTGAAATCATCAATCAGCTAGCTACACAAAAGTCAAGCATTGTAGATGAAATCCATTCCACTTTTGAGGACTTACAGAAAACACTAAATGTGCGGAAGAGTGTCTTACTCATGGAACTGGAAGTGAACTATGGACTGAAACATAAAGTGAGTGTTTACTTATTCCTTATCGGGAAAGGCATGTTGCTCAGTATACTTTTAACTAGCAAAACATAAAGGAGGGGCAAGCTTTGGTTACTGGTCTACAAAAACATTGCATGATCTATTTCATTGCAGGCTACTTATCGTGTATTATCCAATCATTCTGTCCTTTAACTATCGCTTAGATTTTATTGGTTATGCTGATTCGCTGAGTAATAGGTACAACCTGTACTTTCCCCATAGGTCCTCCAGGCACAGCTGGACACGTTAATTGAAGGCCAGGAAAGTATAAAAAGTTGTAGCACTTTTACAGCACAAGCACTCAACCATGGAACGGAAACAGAAGTCTTGCTAGTGAAAAAGCAAATGAGCGACAAACTGAACGAGTTGGCTGAGCAGGACTTTCCATTACATCCTCATGAAAATGACCAGTTGGACTTTATAGTTGAAACTGAAGGACTAAAAAAATCTATACACAACCTTGGGACGATACTTACTACAAATGCTGTGGCTTCTGAAACAGTGGCCACAGGTGAAGGATTAAGGCAGAGTGTGGTTGGTCAGCCTATGTCTGTTACAATTACCACAAAGGACAAAGACGGAGAACTCTGTAAAACTGGCAGTGCCTACATTTCTGCTGAGCTGTGCACCCCCGATGGGAGTATAACAGATGGAGAAATATTAGACAATAAGAATGGCACCTATGAGTATTTGTATACAATTCCAAAGGAGGGTGATTTCACGCTTTCTTTGAGACTGTATGATCAGCATATTAAAGGAAGTCCTTTTAAGCTGAAAGTAGTGAAGTCTGCAGATGTGTCACCTACAACAGAAGGTGTAAAACGGAGGGTAAAATCTCCAGGCAGTGGACACGTAAAACAGAAAGCTGTGAAGAGGCCAGCAAGTATGTATAGCACGGGTAAAAGGAAAGAAAACCCCATAGAAGATGACCTGATATTCCGAGTTGGTAAGTTGAGTATCTCCTATAGATTCCAAGCCTTTACTCAGTGTGGTCATGTTTTATGTATTTTATTAAATATACTTTTTAGTGTTATGAAATGTCAACTCCAGGTTGATATAAAGGACACAAATAAATGCAGCCCTGTATTTATTAATACATTCACATGTGTACAGTTTAAAGACTATAACGTTTTGTTTTTTTTACAGTAGTCAGTTCCTGTTTTGACTAAGTACAAAGTAGTACTTTGAGATTGATTTACTAAAACCAGAGAGTGGAAAATCTGGTGCATAGGAAGTAATTGGCTTTAATTTATCAACCCTTAAAGTGATATTAAAGGCATTTTTTTTTTAAATAACAAGCATGTCATACTTACCTGCTCTGTGCAGTGGTTTTGCACAGACCAGCCCTGATCCTCCTTTTATCGGATCCCCTGCCAGCACTCCTGGCCCACTCCCTCCTGCTGAGTGCCCCCAGAGCAAGCAGCTTGCCATGGGGGCACCCAAGCAAGCTCACTCCCAAGCCACACACAGAGCTTCAGCTCAGCCCCGCTCCTTTACAACCACTTTAATTGAACAAGCAGATGTTAGAAACTCATTGACTACCATGCACAGCTGCACCAGATTTTGCACTTTCCAGTTTTAGTAAATCAACCCATTTGTTCCATCTTCTAGGTGCCCTGTAACGCTAGCTGCAGTGTCAGACAGGGCGCTTCCCTTGACATATGGCTGCCCAGCACTGCAACTAGCAAGGAGATGGCTGCTTTGCTAGTGAGTGTTTTATCTTAGACTGCAAGCACTTGCCCAAGGTGAGCACCAGCAAAAAGAATGCAGGGGGAGGTAAGGCTTGTAAGGCACTCGCTTGTGAAGCAGCTGTATCCCTGCTAGCTGTGGTGTTGGGTTGCTGTGCACCAAGTGGGGGGCACTTTGTCTGACATTGCAGCTAGCATCAGAGGGCGCCTAGGAAGATGGGACAAAGTACTACACATACTTTGTCCCATAAAGAGTTGAATACTGTAAAAAAAAAAAAGATATTTCTTTAAAATGAGAAGAATATAGGTTGACTTGGGATTAGCTTCTTGCAAATCCTTGTACAGCAGCATATGAGAGGGAGTGCCAGGACTGGGAACCAATAAAATGTGAGGGCAAATCCAAAATTTTGAGTTGCCACCAGGACAGGAATAGAGGGGATATCTTCCAATATAAACACTTGTTCCCTTGACAACTGCCTAAGAGGTAGTTTCCCTCACACTGGAAGGGGATCCTCTCAATTCTTGTTGAGTCCACAAGACAGGAAATGAAGGGGAATCTATCTAAAAAGACACAGATGGCAAAAAAACTGACAGTGGTTTTAACTCTGCTGTGCTTTATCCAAAATAGGAAAAAAAGTTTTGGCTTCAAATATACTTTACCTGTAAGTGGTGTCACCTGTCTGTGCATAGTTATGGAGCTGTATATATGTTAGGACTCGATGTGCAAAAATACAAATGCTTTGGGAGGTAAAAAGCTTCCATATACAGTATGTGTTTCATCTGTATATTTATTTGTTTACATGAAATTGAACTTTGAGCTTGAAAATGTATAGCAAACTATGCAAAGTTAACTATAGAGTTTTCTGTATCTATCAATGGCCAAGGGGCCCACACAAGACAACATTTGTTTATTTCTGTAGGAATGATGAGACTATTGGATTATTGTTTCCTTCCAATATGCATATGTTTGGTTACAGGCAGCATCTCATAGGTTGTAATGCATGTAACAGAGTCTGTGCTGATAGGAAATGTACTAATCTAATATAAAACCGATGCCTTCCTAATGCCAGGAAGATATGAATAGAGGCAAAGCTGGACATCTGTCCAACTCATTATCTTCTGCATATGAAGTAAGGTTTTTACTAAAACTTTAAAAAATATTTAACTTCCTTAAATTCACAAAACACTGATTCCTAATGAATCAGTGCTCTCAATGACACAAGTATGGTAATATTTGGCACTTGAAAGCAAATTCTATTTCTGTGAGCTGGGTCTGTATGTTTTCATGGTCATGATAGAGCTGGTAGTTACTGTAGGTTGCCTTCAACTGGACTTTTTATTCAGTAAGGCTAAACACATTTCACCCCTCATCCAAGTAGCTTCCTCAGCACTAATGAATGTAAAGAACATACCCCAGCATCAACAACTACATGGAAGCTGGGACCACAGTTTGATATTGAACACGTGCCATTGAGACTCATGTGATAACAATGACCTCTAATCAGTGTGTCCGCTTTTCTCATTGGTGATCCTTATAGGGTGATTTATGACCTTTTGCTAGGTCTGGTCCATTAAAGCGGAATTCCAGGAATACAGCCACTTTGCAAAATCTGTTGGCTTAGTATGGGTTAAGTCCAATGAGGTACATACCACCTGTGGAAATGTCTTTTTAATCTACATCTGACAGCTATACTCCTGATGCTCAGTAACACTGTCACTACATTCTTGGTGCTCTGACAGGAGAAACCCTTCTCATACAACAGCAGCAGCTCTGCCCGTCCTTTTCTTCTGTTGCCCATTCACAGAATGAAAACAATCTGAGATCCTAGCCTCCTGTGTCCTGAAAATTAGTGTGAAACTTATGTTAATATGCAGAGCTGTTGCCACGGCTAGACCGAAGGGTAAATAGAAGAGGTGGCTGCCTTGAGTGCTTCAGCAGGAGATGGATGGAAAAAGGGAAGAACCTGTAACCTTTTCTGCTGAAGTTCTAAAATGGCTCATAACTGTAAAAATGGGTCTAGACCAGTGGTGGGCAACCTTTTTTTTCAACTGAGCCAAATCTCGCCAAAACCACGATTGAAATTTATTTTGAGAGCCACATTTTTAAAACTGAAAATACATCCCCCATATAGTAATTCATCCCCCATATAGTAATTCATCCCCCATATAGTAATTCATCCTCCATATAGTAATTCATCCCCCATAGTAATTCATCCCCCATATAGTAATTCATCCCCCCTATGCTCCGTGCGTTCCTCTCGCCGTGTTCCCGCGCCGTTCCGGTCTTCAGGGCGGACTGTGAGAGGAGAGGAGTTCGTCACGCTGCCCCGCCTACATCCTGACAGCCAATGTTTGCCACGCTCCGCAGGCCGGATTAAAAGGTCGCCGGGCCGTAGTTTGCCCATTGCTGGGCTAGCTGCAGAGTCCTGACTTTTGGGGCGGCCGCCCGAGAGGAGGGAGGGGAGCTGGCGCCCGGCACACAGAAGAGCCGCATTAAAGTGTGCAAAGAGCCGCATGTGGCTCCCGAGCCGCGGCTTGCCGACCACTGGTCTAGACACACAGGTCTTATTTACTGTCAACAAGTTATAACATGTCATAGGTGTTTCATCTATTAGCTCCCCCTTATTGTTGATATTCCACATTTTTTCTTTCATATAGGTACAAAAGGAAGAAACAAGGGAGAATTTACCAATCTTCAGGGTGTAGCTGCATCAACTAATGGAAAAATCTTGATTGCAGATAGCAACAACCAGTGTGTCCAGGTACCGTAAAGAAAAATATCAGTGTGGCTCTGGGTTTCCAAAGACATGAGATTGCTACTGATCTGGACAAAAACATCTCATATTATAAGTGCTGTAAAGTGGACATGTTATGTTGTAAATGAGTACTGATGCTGCGGTGATGCCTGCATACAGTGTAGCTATAAGCATTTTTAAAGCAGCTCTTGATTCTTGAACCCCAACCAGAGTTAAATGTTGCCCCCTTTCTTTCAATAGTCCAGTGAAATAAAGTCAGTGGTCAGAAGAGGTTCTGGCATGGGGCTATTGGGATGTTGAGCATTGAAGCAGGGTTTAAACTCAAGGAGTTGATCTCTGTGCTGGTTTGAGATAGAAATTCAATCCTGGAATACAGCCATGTCCTTTCAAATTTACCCACACACCCCCTTCCCACGTACTCAAGTTTCTCCCTTACCAACATGCTATTAACTACTTTCAACCAATCTATGTGGAAGGAGGTGGCAGGGGGGCTATCTATTTTTGAGCAATTAGCTTTCTGGCTTGATAGAGACACCCCAACACCGCTACTTGAGCTAGAAAGGGGGCCAGTTGGCAATCCATATAACCCAGTACACATAATTTGGTTCTACTGGAAAATTAGTTCCAAATATCAAACGTATTGTACCCACCACATCTATCCAATACCAATACAATTTTGGGCATCTCCAGATGGATCACCACAGATGAATCTCCACATTTTGGGCATAATGCATCTAGATGTCTCTCAAACAGGAAAAATGTCCTTGGTGTATAGTATGCCTTATGTATTACATAGATCTAGGCCAATATTTTTTTTACAGGAACAGAGATATTCGCCCTACTAACTTAAAGATATAATTCCACTACTCATCTGTCAGTTCCCTACATTCTCTACTCATTTTGCTCAACATGGAAGATCCACATCTTCTTCCAATACTGCTAGGTGTATGCTGGCATACAGTTTTGATATCAACCCTTTAGTGAAATTGGCTCTAACTAGAGCTCCGAAGAGAGGAGCATTGCCCCATTCCAACCCTCCTGTTTGAACTGTCAGTGCATGCCTTATCTTCAAATATTGATAAAAGCATTTATTTGACAGGCCAAACTCTTCTCTCTAACTCCTCAAAAGTTTTCAATGTCCTAGCAGTATATGAGTCACATAAATCCCTTTAGCTTCCAATTGTTAAAATTGTGTAGCCAATCCAGCTCTGATAAAATGTTTTTTTGTCCCATATTGGGGTATACTGTAAACCCTGTATAATGAAGCATAGCGTGTGTTAATCGCCATAGCCTCATCAACAGATGGACTGTAGCGAATTGTGGCTGCCTCCAATGATTCAACTAATGTAGGATGTGAAGTACAGCCCAACAATGCCCGGGTGCTATACCAAGCTGGACACTCTTCCTATGCACAACCCTGTAGATATTGCAATTGGGCTGCCACAAAATAGCTCCACGGATTTGGTAGGGCCAATCCTCCCCTATCTTTTGGCAGCTGCAGCACCTGGAGGCGCAGTCTAGCCTGTCTCTGCTTGCACACCAAATCCTTAAATAATGTATCTATCTTTCTAAACCAGACCCCATTACCCACATTGGAGAATTGTGCAAAACATAAAGAGGTTGGGGCATCCACATCATCCTAATTAAAATAGATCAACCCACTACTGACAAGGGGAGGCAACACACCGTATTTAAAAAGTTTTTTAATTTTTGTTCCTTGCAAGTGTACTGTATGTTTATTGTGAAATGTTTGCTTCAAGATCACTTGGTGGGACTTCTTTTTTTGGACCACATGTTTGATTTGTGCATTGATTTTTTTCAGCTTACCCTTTCAGAGCCACATCTGTTTTGTGATCTGAAACACAAGAAGGTGCGGTCTTTGTATGTTTCTGTTTGCATTGAAACATATGACATATAGGTATAATGTGGAGCTCCATTACTAGTTACTTGGGCATACTAGTTTGTTTATACAGTTAGGTCCATATATATTTGGACACAGGCACAATTTTGTTCAGGTATTTACCAAAACATATTCAAGCTATAGTTATATAATGGATATAGGCTGAAAGTGCACACTCTCAGGTTTAATTTGAGGGTATGCACATCCAAATTGGAGGAAAGGTTTAGGAATTACAGCTCTTAAGAGTAGTCATTCCCCCTTTTTCAAGGGACAAAAAGTAGTTGGACAATTGAATCAAGAGCTGTTTCATGGTCAGGTGTGGGCTACTTCTTTGTTATTTCTTCATCAATTAAGCAGGTAAAAGGTCTGGAGTTGATTCTAAGTGTGGTATTCGCACTTGGAATCTATTGCTGTGAACCTACATCAAGCTGTCCATACAAGTGAAACAGGCCATTGAAAGGCTTCAAAAACAAAACAAATCCATCAGAGAGATAGCAGCAACATTAGGAGTGGCCAAATCAACAGTTTGGTACATTCCAAGGAAAGAAGAATGCACTGGTGAGCTCAGCAACATAAAAAGGCTTGGACGTCCATGGAAGACAACAGTGGTGGATGATTGCGGGATCCTCTCTATGGTAAAGAAAAACCCATTCACAACATCCAGACAAGTGAAGGACAATCTCCAGGAGGTGGGTGTATCATTGTCAAAGTCTACAATCAAGAGGAGACTTCATGAGAGCAAATACAGAGGGTTCACCGCAAGGTGCAAACCATTCATAAGCCTGAAGAATAGAAAAGCCAGATTAGACTTTGCCAAAAAAAGCCAGACCAGTTCTGGAAAAGCATTCTTTGGACAGATGAAACTAAGATTAATCTGGTCCAGAATGACGGAAAGAAAAAAGTGCGGAGAAGGCTTGGAACAGCTCATGATCCAAAGCACACAATGTCATCTGTAAAACATGGTGGAGACAGTGTGATGGCATGGGCATGCATGGCTTGCAGTGGTACTGGGTCATTGGTGTTTATTGATGAACTGACAGAAGACAGAAGCAGCTGGATTAATTCTGCAGTGTTTAGAGAGACACTGTCAGCCCAGATTCAGCCAAATGCAGAAAAGTTGATTGGACGGCGCTTCACAGTACACATGGACAATGATCCAAACACACACTGCAAAAGCAACCCAGGAGCTTTTGAAGGAAAAGAAGTGGAATATTCTGCAATGGCCGAGTCAATCACCTGATCTCAACCCAACTGAGCATGCATTTTACTTGATGGAAGGCAAAACTAAAGGTAGAAAGACCCACAAACAAAGAACAACCGAAGACTGCTGCAATTAGAGCCTGGCAAAGCATCAGAAAGGAGGAATCCCAGTCGTTGGTAATGTATGAAAATTGTGCCTGTGTCCAAATATATATGGACCTAACTGTATATTGCTTTGTAATAGAGCAGCACAGGATGTGGACACATTTCAAAGTTTGAGCTCACAAACCAATGAGTGGAAATTTCCACTGTATTCTCAGGCTTGCTTACACAGCTGAAGGTAATCAAATTTAAATCTCAAATTATGTTAGAAAAACACTTTCTGTGACCTTTTTGGGCTTACGCAAATCCCCTCACTTATGAAGTACATATTCATTCTGCCATTGCGGATTCAATGATTTCTTGTTTACTCTCTAAACCTTCTGCAGAGGGCAGCCTATCGGCTGCAAGATAGTAGGTTCATTTGGATGACAGGGTCACTTTAATAGTTGTTTAATATCTAACTGACTATCTAACAAAAATCATTTAAATGTAAATTTCATTGTAATACTTATTTTAAAGACAAGCTAGATCATTGTAAGATAGAAGTCTATAACTACTTTTATGGATGTATGAATCCATTTTAACTACAGCTGTACGTGTAATAACTAAATCTTTAGATAAAGACATGCATAGAAAGAAATGGCATACTAGCCCAAATTTGATCTTCTTTCTTGTCTGTTAGATCTTTTCAAACGATGGACAGTTTAAAAGTCGTTTTGGCATCCGCGGAAGGTCACCAGGCCAACTCCAGAGGCCAACAGGAGTCGCTGTTCACCCAAGTGGTGATATCATCATAGCAGATTACGACAACAAGTGGGTCAGCATATTTTCGTCTGATGGCAAATTTAAGGTAGGAGTTGATATAATATCACATTAATGTTGCTCTAATTGTTTGCACTGTAGATTCTGCTTTTACAGGTGGATGCCTTGAAATGGATTGTAGATGTATACATTCAAGAAAAGCATGAGTGAATGCCTAGCAAACATATATTTGAGTTTAATGCTGCAATAGAGATTTTGATAACCAGAATATATGTACTATAATTTGAAAGTTATAGACTATATAGTAACACATGTCATTTATAGCTATTGATAAAAATATGAACTGAATACTGAACCAGGTCAAATTTTATAACCTTTCCCTTGTATTAGTGACATTCACTATCCCTATATAGCCTTATTCACCAAATGAATTGACTATTAATTAGTAGATTAAAACGGGACTTTTAAGGTGCCCTCACACATGTACAACATGCAAGGTGGTTAAAACTTCATATGTTTTTATCCTTCTATATTTAAAAGTTGATCATTAGATCCTTTAAAGTGCATTCTCTTGTGGATCACAGGAGTACAGTTTATTCTGCACTCCTATGACCCATTTTCAGCTGACAGCAGGCTAAAGTTCGCTGTCGGCTGATGTCACTCAGCCGGTCCAGGCTGGGGAAAGATCTTGACCTCAGAGAGCCACTGAGAGCCTTAGTCAGCCACTCCCGCTCCCTCCACAGTGAGCGCTGGGTAGGGGGGCAGAGCAGACAGCGGTGACTAACAGTCACTGCTCTCTGCTCAGAGTGCCAGGAAGAACTGAGCGATCAAAGGTGTTTTCATCCAGCTAGGTAAGTATGATTTAAAAAGTAGTTGTGAACAGTTATAACTACAGGTGAAACTCAAAAAATTAGAATATCGTTCAAAAGTTCATTTATTTCAGTAATGCAACATAAAAGGTGAAACTAATATATGAGATAGACTCATTACATGCAAAGCAAGATACTTCAAGCTGTGATTTGTCATATTTGTGATGATTATGGCTTACAGCTCATGAAAACCCCAAATCCACAATCTCAGAAAATTAGAATATTACATGCACTCAATAAAACAAGGATTGTACATAGAACAATATCAGAACTCTGAAAAGTATAAGCATGCATATGTACTCAGTACTTGGGTTGGGCCCCTTTTGCAGCAATTACTGCCTCAATGCGGCGTTGCATGGAAGCTATCAGCCTGTGGCACTGCTGAGGTGTTATGGAAGACCAGGATGCTTTAATAGCGGCCTTCAGCTCTTCTGCATTGTTCGGTCTCATGTCTCTCATCTTTCTCTTGGCAATGCCCCATAGATTCTCTATGGGGTTCAGGTTAGGCAAGTTTGCTGGCCAATCAAGCACAGTAATCCCACGGTCATTGAACTAGGTTTTGGTGCTTTTGGCAGTGTGGGCAGGTGCCAAGTCCTGCTGGAAAATGCAGTCAGCATCCCCATAAAGCTCGTCTGCGGAAGGAAGCATGAAGTGCTCCAAAATCTCCTGGTAGACGGCTGCATTGACCCTGGACTTAATGAAGCACAGTGGACCAACACCAGCAGATGACATGGCTCCCCAAATCAACACAGACTGTGGAAACTTCACACTGGACTTCAAGCATCTTGCAGTGTGTGCCTCTCCATTCTTCCTCCATACTCTGGGTTCTTGGTTTCCAAATGAGATGCAAAAGCTGCTCTCATCAGAAAAGAGGACTTTGTACCACTGAGCAACAGACCAGGTCTGTTGTTCTTTAGCCCAGGTAAGACGCTTCTGATGTTGTTTGTTGTTCAGGAGCGGCTTGACAAGAAGAATACGACATTTGAAGCCCATGTCCAGGCTCCGTCTGTGTGTGGTGGATCTTGATGCACTGACTCCAGCCTCAGTCCACTCCTTGTGAAAGTCCCCAACACTTTTGAATGGCCTTTTCCTGACAATCCTCTCCAGGCTGCGGTCATCCCTGCTGCTTGTGCACCTTTTTCTTCCACACTTTTCCCTGCCACATAACTTTCTATTAATGTGCTTTGATACAGCACTTTGGGAACATCCAACTTCTTTTGCAATTACCTTTTGAGGCTTTCCCTCCTTATGGAGGGTGTCAATGATGGTTTTCTGCACAACTGTCAGGTCAGCAGTCTTTCCCATGATTGTGATTCCTACTGAACCAGACTGAGAGACCATTTAAAGGCTCAGGAACCCTTTGCAGGTGTTATAGTTTAATTAGCTCATTAGAGTGGGACACTTTGAGCCGAGAATATTGCACCTTTTCACAATATTCTAATTTTCTGAGATTGTGAATTTGGTGTTTTCATGAGCTGTAAGCCATAATCATCACAATTATGACAAATCACGGCTTGAACTATCTTGCGTTGCATGTAATGAGTCTATCTCATATATTAGTTTCACCTTTTAAGTTGCATTACTGAATTAAATGAACTTTTCCACGATATTCTAATTTTTGGAGTTTCACCTGTATGTAGGTACCATAACTGCATTTAACATTTCTGTCATGTGATCGTGCACCTCTTCTTCCTGATAATTGAGGGGGTTACAGGCAGGATACTGTGCAGACACAAAATGTGCTTGTTCCATAGTCTGTTCCCCCTGAGGCAAGATGCATGTTGTGCTTGAGCAGCTGGACAAGAGGAAGGCTGTAGTTGGGAGGGAGTATGTGCCAGAGGTAGGCTGAGATTAGTTGTGTGTCTTCTGTGTCATGCTGTGTGTCTGCACAGTGTGCTGTACTTCTGAATGGACGGCCAAAGGATGAAAACTGACCACACAAGAACAAATCAGTTTCTGTGCTTTGTGTGGTCAGTTTAGAACAAGGAAGATAGGTAACTGGCAGGATCAACCAAATACTTTAGATCAATGCAATACATAAACATGATAAAGATTCTGGTTTATAAAATATACATATATGCAAAAACACACAGAAAATTTTTTTTAACATGCATTGAAATCATAAATTCAACTACAGTTAAAATAATTCTTTCACAGTTTGCCATCCTCGTCCCCACCCTTCAGCATATTACTCATATTTTTCCATCTTAAACTCAAAGTATTTTTCAGAATCTTGCCTGCTGGTAGCTGGGAAGGCGTGCAACAGTAGATCTACTATGCATTTTGTGCATTTAGGGACTCCTTCTTCTGTGACACCTCTAGAAGGGTTCATATGTATGTATAAAATAATTTTAAAGATTTTTTTCTTGGAATGTGCCCTCACACATGTATGACATGTACTGTGATTAAAATGTCCTATGTTTTAATTGTTACACTTACAATAATACAAAGAGTTTTTTCTTCAGATGGAAGGACCAGGTACTTGGGGTGGCTAGGTGTGGTGGTCCCCAAGTTCTTGGCCCTTCCATCTGAAGAAAAAACTCTTTGTATTATTGTATGTGTAACAATTAAAACATAGGAGATTTTAATCACATTGTATGTCCTATTTAGTATGTGTGAGGGCAACTTAAAAGTCCCACCTTTTTGGTCTTCTAATGTCTGTGCCAAACTGTGATCTCTCAGCAACTTTCATTTAAGTATACCTTAGCAATGTAATTGCATTGAATGTATGCGACTATTATGGGAATCTACAGCCTATGGTATACATAATATGATAATCTTTATGTAAAGATTCTTGATATTGAGTATTCACGTTTTACAATCTTTACTTCTGGGTATAGCTTTTAAATATGTATGTACAAGGGGGTAGCCATTTTTCATATTACATATGAAAGCTCTGCTTTCTGCCTAGCACTGCATTGTGATGTCTCTGTTGCTCATTCTCTGAGCAAGTCTGTGGGTCTGGGATGACCTGACTGCAAACAGACTCTTTATAAGGATTAATTTATCTAAAAATCATTACTACTGAACTCTGGGTAACAGTTAAAATAAGCTGCTCAAGACTTTAAAGCAGGAGGAATAAAAAGGTGATTGTTATGTGCTTCATTGGTGGTATTTATCTTTTTTTATAACAGACAAAAATTGGATCAGGAAAACTGATGGGTCCTAAGGGAGTTTCAGTAGATCGCAATGGACATATTATAGTGGTAGACAACAAAGCATGCTGTGTGTTCATCTTCCAGCCCAATGGGAAAATTGTGACCAGGTTTGGAAGTCGAGGAAATGGAGACAAGCAGTTTGCAGGTATGCTTCATGACAATATGTACACCTCCTTCTTCTGTGCAGTATTTCCTGCCATTGCTTGGATAATGCACACTAGTGACTATTTGCAGGAGGCATGTCACTTGGGTGAAATCCTGGGCACAGTCTTTTTTGTTTCTTTGTGCCTTCTTTTGACTGCTGCTATGTGACTGCACCTTTGCACCACTTTCTGTGTTCTGCTGGAGAACTGTACCAATGCTATCAAGACATTTTTGTTTTAGTTTATTCTATTAACTGGCAGCATTTACCGTAATAATGAAAGTGAGCTAGTTTCCTCCCTTCCCTGAAGCATATCCATATATGTATCCAGGGTTTTTTCATCGGGAATGTGGAGGAACACAGTGCCGACACCTCCAGCACTGGATGTATGTAATGGCAAGAAGTGGTGGGGTGTGCTGGGGGGAGGGGTTGATTGTTTCTGGCAGCTGGGGAATACATTTTTGTTGGAAAGGGGGGACTATTGTTGCTGAAGAGGTTTAATGTTACTGGTGGGGGATCTATTGTTCCTTGGGGGGATCATAAGTTACTGGGAGGGATCTACTGTTGAGGGATGGAGTCTATTGTTACTGGCTGCTGAGAGATTTTATTGTTGCTGGCAGGGTTCTTTTTTTTTTTTTTTTAGACAAATCCATAATAAACCAATTTCTAATTTAATTTAATTTCTATTCCCCCTCCCCTTTTTTATCCTCCCGCCCTCCTCCCCGTATCTTCTTGGTCCTTTCCTTAACTTTTGTTCTTCTTTGTTAATCTCACTCGCTATTTACCCCTATTTTTCTTTGTCCTCTATCTTCCTTTTGTTTCCAATTTCTTGTTTGTTCCCCCCCCCCCCATACTCCAACTACTTCTAAAAATCTTCTTGTTTTTTTTAAATTATACCATCCCTCTTGACTTTTTCCATTTTGTATTCATCTATACGATACAGTTCTTCCATTCTGTGTGTATATATATATATATATATATTCCACCCTGTCCATCCAGTCTTTTATTTTCTGGGGTTCTAATGTTTGCCAATATTTAGGAATCAGGCCTTTGGCTGCATTTACAAGATTAAACAAAATTGAATTTTTATATTGCTTCACCGAAAGCTCTGATTTATAAAATAGGCAATCCCACGGGTCCATCTGTATACTAATCTTCTGGATTTCTTGTATATATTGCATGATCTCCCTCCAAAACTCTTGTATTTTGGGACAGTCTTACCAGATATGTGCCATTGTGCCTTTACTCCCACATCTTCTCCAGCATTAAATTTAAACTTCTGGCCTTAATTTATGCATCACCTTGCGTGTAATATATCATCTTACTAGGCACTTATAATTAATTTCAACTATATTCATATTTACCGCCCCATGTGTTAAACTAAACATTTTTTTTTTGTTGCTCATTCAATTCATTTGTTCCAAGTTCCACTTCCCACTTCTCCAGAAATGTTGGGCATGTTAATCCCTCTATTTCAGTAAGTATTCTATATATCCTTGAGGTACTAGGTTTCTGTATTCCATTTATACTCAGCAGTTGCTCAAATGGATACATTTCATCCTCATTCCTTAGTGGTTGTAGAAGCTTTGCAACAAAATATCTTATTTGACAATATCGCCACTCATCCAGTGTGGAAAATATTTCCTTTTTACTCTTCAACTCGTGTAACGAATATAATACTCCTCTATCCACAATATCTTTTAAACGTGCATTTTTATCCAATATCCATTTCCCTGAAATATTGTAATTTCCTTGTGGGAAAAATCTAGTTCCCGCCAACGGAATTGACAGTTAATTAAATTTCCATTCCTTCTGCTTGTGTGTTTCATCCCAAATCCTAAATACATTCTGTGTCAAAGTGCTTGTGTCCTCATCCCAAGTGCGAAATTCCTGTGGTATACAAATAAACTTTTCTAATGGTGCCTTACTAAGTGCGCCTTCCATTCTTACTCAACTTCTCCCCTTTATATTGTGTATCCAATGAACAATTCGTGATAATAGCACTGAATTATATTACCTTCTGAAATCTGGCGTTTATTTATTACAGCACAAAACTTCATACTTAACTTTTTGATTTTTTGTTTGTCCACACATATCTAAGTATCATTTTTTTGAGAACCCTGAAGAAAGACCCGGGAAGGTATATTGGAATCATACTAAATTTGTATAACACTTTTGCTATTATGATCATCTTAACTATATTTTCCGACCAGTATTCCTGTAGACATTTTCCTAAGTTCATCTTTTATCTTATTTATTAATAGGATACAATTTTCCTGATACAAAATTTTTTATATGCAATGTTAATTTTATTCCCAAGTGCTTTAATTCTTTTTCTCTCCATTTAAAGGGGAACTCTTTTTGTAGAATTTGTTTCTCGGCCTTTGGAACGTTTATATTTAATATCTCACTTTTCAAATTAGCTCCCCATATTCTTTAAATTTTTTCATTAGGTTCTGTAATGTTAATCTGGGATTGTTAATATAAAACAGCATATCATCTGCATATACTGCCACTTTATGATCAACATCCCTTGTCCTCATTCCCCTAATATCTATACTATTTCTAACAGTTGCTAATAGCAGTTCCATGGAGATAACAAACAGCAACAGGGACAGGGGACATCGCTGTCTTGAGCCGTTATACATCTTAAAAAATTTTGATAATGAACCTTTTACCTTCACTGTAGCTGAGGGGACTCTATATAACTCTTTAATCCACTGTATCATTCTGGCTCTGATTCCTAGTGTTCTCAGCATATCAAACATAAATCCCCAGTCAACTCTATCAAAAGCTTTTTCAGCATCTACTGCCAGAATAATTCCCAGTTTCACTCCTCTTTCATTCTTTTGTAGGATAAGCAATGCTCTTAAACCATTATCCTTTCCCTCTCTATTCGGAATAAATCTCACTTGGTCTCAGCTTATCCAGCCAGACATCAGTTCTTTCATCCTGGTGGCTAATACCTTCACATATAATTTTTGTATCAGTATTCAGCAAAGATATGGGTCTATATCTGGGACACTGAGACCAATCTTTCCCCTCCTTGGGTATTACTGTTATATATGCCTGTAAAAATTCATCCCTCATCTTTATCTGCTCTCCTAGTGCGTTCATATATGAACATAATTTAGGGACTAGGTTTTCTTTAAAATTCTTATAGTATCTTACAGTAAACCCATCAGGTCCAGGACTCCTTCCTACTGCTGTACTTTTTAATGCTAAGTTGACTTCTTCTATTAATATTGGATTATCCAAAGCTGCCAGTGTAGTTTTATATAGTATAGGTAAACCGGCTCCATTCAGATAAGTCTGCCTCCTTTTCTTCCTCTCCTCCTCAGAATCTTTCTGGTTCTTCCCTTCTACTCCATATAAACCGCAATAGTAACTCTGGAATGTATTAGCGATATCAGTGGTTGAATATACCATTTTTACCTTTTTCAATTTTTTATTTTATCTATAAAATTTCTTAATTTCTTTTCTTTCAGCTTTTTCATCAGATATTTCCCTGGTCTATTCCCCCCACCGATAACTTTCCTTCGAAACCCTGTTAAAAATCTTCCTTGTTTCTTGTTCAAGGAATTCCTTCAACTCTTCTCTTTTTATTATTATTTTTTGTTGTAATTCTATAGTTATTTTTTTTATGCAGTGGTTCCAGCTGATTTAGTTCTTTCACTTAATGTCCTAATTCTTTTTTCCCGTTCTTTTTTTATCTCGGCCCTTATTGAGACCAGTATTCCCCTAATATAGGCTTTATGTGCTTCCCATATCATGGCAATAGAAACCTGCTTGGATTCGTTTAATTCAAAGTACTGGTCTATTACCTCCTTTACTTATTTCTGCATGTTGATGCATCCATCTCTCTGCTGGCAGTGTTCTATTGTTGCTGAGGTGGATCTATTGCTATTGGGGGTATTTTGCTGTGGGGGGTCTATTGTTTCTTTGAAGATCTATTGTTGCTGGGGGTCTATTGTTGCTGGCTGCTGGGGATCTATTTTACTGCTTTTCCTGTTATCACTAACAAATTCCTCACGAATTCCTTAGCACCACAAAATTATACTTGGTTATGTAGTCTTTAAAAGGGGTTGTACTGGGAGGTGGGTAGGGGGTGGAAAAAAAGGGACAAGGGGTGACTTGAAAGGGGGGGTACCTTCACCCTTTTCTTTGAGAAAAAACACCCTGTATGTATCCATATATCCCTGTAGAAGTATGCGATGCCTAATAACAGGAGTTGAAAACCCCACCTCATCCTTCTTTGGTTACTTTAGTGCAAACTTAATAATGGATTGTCCCTTCTTTTTACTTCATGACCGGTACTCTTGATATCATTTTTTGGTAGATGACCTAAGATTATTGCTTGTAAACAGAAAATACTATTATGTTAATGTGTACAAAATGAACGGGTACAGTATTTGACATTAAAGCGGAGCTCCCCCCAAAAGAGGAAGTTCCGCTTTAAAGACTGGTCCCCCGCTCTCCATTAAGGATTGGCACCTTTGGGGAGCTGGGGGGGGGCGGGTAACTGAAATTGATAGGTACCCACTCCTACCTCTGCTGCGATCGCCTAGATGATCAGAAGCGGAAGTTGTCCTCCTACCCTCCCTCTCCATACTCATTCAGGAAGTGCAGCACTACTCATGCATGTGCAGTGGGCACCTGGCTGTGAAGCTGCAAACTGTCACAGCCGGGTGCCAACACTGAAGATGCTTGCACCTGGAACACCAGACAGCTGGTGAAACGGGCTGCGGAGAGGACACAGTGGGATCGTGGGACAGGTGAGTGGCTCTTTTTTTTAAAAGTCATCAGCTACAGTTTTTGTAGCTGCTGACTATCATTTTTTCACAGCGCGACTAGAACTCCGCTTTATTTTCTTCCACCTTTTTTTTTATTATAATTGCAAAAGCCTGTATTATTACATATGATGCACCTATTCTGTTGATTGAGCCAATAAGTAGACAGCATTGTAGCATACCCAGCTAATCCTGCTGGGGAAGTCACAGTTTGGTGATTGGATAGGATATTTCAAAGTACAAACCCTGCACTTTGGTTTGAAAAGCTTACATGCTAAAGCGGAGTTCCAGTCACACTGTGAAAAAATAAGTCGGCAGCTACAAAAACTGACACACTGCTATCATTGTCAGAAGGAGAGGACTACAATGTCAGCCTACAAATCTTCTTCGATCTGCACACAACTGTCTGACTATTCAGACATTTTGTTTCCAGAAATTCAAGTGCTTCTGTTCAAAAACTAGTAAAAGATATTTGACAGACCTGATCGACTGGAATGGTGAAGGCTGTCACATAAAGTAGAGTGATCCTGACACATTGTTTGCAATAGGAGATGATGTATATTTGTATGTGTTGATGTATGTCCTGCTAACAAAGCTGCTTGTATTGGTAGAATTAGTTTCTGTGACCATAAATTTCTGTGTATCACCACAGCTTAATGCACAGAATGACAGCTCTTTCTGCACGTAGCAAACTCTGGTCTTGTTGTAATTCAGAGAGTAATTATTTGTTTTTTAGGACCTCACTTTGCCGCTGTGAACAGCAACAATGAAATAATTGTAACGGATTTCCATAACCATTCTGTCAAGGTACTTTTTTTTAAATTTGTTACTCTGAATAGTTTTTAGGCTGACGTATTCTCATGTACTGTTACATTAAAAGATGTAATTAATGTTTTGCTTTTTCACTGAAAATCCTTCCCTGACACTTCAGTAAAGTAACCACTGACATTGATTATCTTTTTAGCTACTGTATCTGTAAGGAGGATTCTTCCCACTGATCACCAATGTAAGGGACATTACCATTGACCGTCATGCTATTGCACTGTGAGCTGTAGATATAGTAATTAGCAGGGGCACCCTGAGACCGAAAAGGTATTTTAAGGGTTCCTCTATGTTAAAAAGGTCGAGAGGCTGCTCTAGAGCATTTAACATTTTTTATTTATTTTTTTTTTAAAGTTAAAATCTGCATGTTTGACTATAAAGTTACTTAAAAGTAGAATACCAACTTGCACTTTACTAACCTTCAAACTGCCCTCTCTGCCCTCCTAACACCTTTGCTAACTAACGTGTAAAAAATATGTATTTACTTACGCATTTCAGTCTGCCCTGGTTCAGTCATGTGATCCAAATCCCCTGTGTCAGCCAGTGGCAGCTCATGGTAGAGGAAGGAGCGCCAACCACGGATGGGCCATTGAAGCCTATGAGTGATGTCAACACTGTAGGGTTTACTAGCCATTGTTAGTGTGCCCTCTCCTCTTCCCTGTAGCTGCTATTGGCTTACATAGGGGAGATCATGTCATTGGATCCAAGTGACCTGAAAATAGGTAAATATATACACATCTTTCTTACACAAGTTAGTTAGCATAAGTTTGGGGGGGCAGATTTAAAACAGTAGTAAACTTTGTGATTTTTTTCCTACTGCACCGTGTACAGTTTAGGAGATATTCTTTTGTTTGGCAGCCGGTGACATCACCGGTGCATGTGCTCTGAAGGAACGGCATATTCACGCTGTCCTTCAGAGCTCTGTGCTGCGGTCATAACTCCCGCACGCATGCATGAGAGTGATGTCATTGCAGCTCGGCCATTGAAGTGGCAAGGGCCCGCAAACCTGGAAAGAAGATAAGTGAAGATGGAAGCCCTGTCAGCGGTAACAGTGCACCGCCATAACATGATTTCATTTTCTGAAAGCAAAGGCCGTGTAGAATAAAAAGATTGTGTAATTCTTTTATGTTGCACGTTATTTGCACAACTATCTAAATCTATATTTTCATGAAAAAATACAGTAAAATTAATTTTATTGCACACCGTCGCAATTTAGTCCCCTATTGCAGGGGTGGGCAACTGTGGCCCTCCAGCTGTTGTAGAACTACAAGACCCATGAGGCATTGAAAAACTGACAGTTACAAGAATGACTCCCAAAGGCAGAGGCATGATGGGACTTGTAGTTCACCAACAGCTGGAGGGCCACAGTTGCCCACCCCTGCCCTATTGTTTTGTATAAAATAAAAGATGACATAGTGTAAACCGATGCCAAATGTGTCAAGTTTCAAAACCGCATGTGGCCAAAAATATGGAGGAAAAGTATGGTACCCAAAATTATCAATAGGTGACACTTTGCCTTTACAGCTCATTTAGAGTAAACTGTAAATGAGGGGCCTAGAATTATTGTTATCACAGTGTTTGCAGTGATACTCACATGTTTGGTGCAGTCACAGTTTATATATACGTGTGCACCTTGTGTGGTCATTTGCATTCGCAGGTGTGCACAGGGCAGTGAAGTTACTTGTAATTTTTTATTTGTATTACATTTTATTACAATTTTAACAGTTTTTTTCATTTAGGTTTATTGCTATCACAAGGGCGGTTAAAATGTGATAACATTGAGCAGGTTCTCTATGAAGACATTGGGGTGTATTAGACTCCTAATGTCTCTCCTGCCCTCCACTTTAGCTAATCAAGCACAGATACAAGCAGATAAAACGTATCTCTAATTCTAGAAAAGTCTATATCTTTGATTATTAATATTATAGTAGAAATTACAACTTAAACATATACAGTACGTAAAACATGTCCTGGAGTATTCAGCTACAAAATATGTAAGTGAGGGTTGCCTTCATCAACTGGAGAATAGCTGAGGTTTCATGCAAATTCTTAAACCCCCTAAGGGCCACATAGAAGGAGTGAGGGGGATGCATGTGGTCTAAAAAACACCATTTTGACATGCCTGCCTTAGAGAATAGCATACATCAGTCCTTACTATATGTACACTATTAGAGGCTCTATCTTTTAAACATTTTATGATTACATTTTTCTTTCCAGGTATTTAACCAAGATGGTGAGTTCATCTTGAAGTTTGGTTCAAATGGAGAAGGCAATGGACAGTTTAATGCACCAACAGGAGTGGCTGTAGATTCCAATGGAAATATCATTGTAGCTGACTGGGGAAACAGCAGAATACAAGTAAGTTCTGTAAAATAATGATTGTGCTTTCTGGAAATACAACATATGCTGTACATATCTGTTATGTAATAAACATGATAGATTAAACTGCAAGCCAACAGCAAGACCAGAAAAATATTCTGATAACAAGATGATTGACATCTTTTGAACGTACTTAGATTCAGAATGTTCCAGATGGCTGTCTTTGACATTGGCTAAATATATTCATGCATTGATATGGATGTAAATGAGATTGGAGCTTGTAATACAAGTGTAGTTGATTACACAAAACCAGCATGCAAACTCTCCTTAAAATGTCTTTGACAACGCTCCTGCTTTCATGCTTTGAATCAGGTTTCCAAGGGGCAAAATGTCCTGATTCCAAAGAGCAGCACTGCAATGTAAGGATCTAAATAGAATTACTTACACCTATTAAAAAATAACACATTTTTGTGAGTTCACATATCTTGCAATCACTGCTTTTGTATGATTTTGATGCTCTAGAACTAAGGCCTACAATATAGAATTCTGTTAATTAAACTGGCAGAACTTCCTTTATTTCCAGCACACCCATTTGCCAATGTCAGCATGAATATTAAAGTATGCCTCACATCTTCATGACATTTTGTGTAATTAAATATAGTATCTCATGCAGAAAAAAGTAAACAGAGCTTGACTGTCAAAGCTCCAAGGTGCAGAAAGGTGAGGTAATGATGGAAGCAGGGTGGAGGCTTTTAATATAGGAGAAACACCCTACTTTACATTGGTTGTTTGCATTATTACATTCACAGAGAGCCCACCACTACCACCCTTTAGATTCTGCACAAAATAAAGACCTGCAAAATATGTTGGAGGTAAAAAGCATTAAAGCTTCAAAGGTTGTGTCAAAGGTCCACATTGGCAAGTGTACTGCAAGGAGGATGCACTGGCCTTTCCTTTTTGTAGACCTATACTGAGAGTTATTTATAGTATAGTTTATTGTGACATGTCTTTCTTGCTTCAGCATTGAAATCTTGGTATAAACTTGTATAACATGATCTGGACTTTGTCATTATATCAGTATATTAGCCCATGACAAAATAGGCAAGATGAAACTTTGTAATGACTTTAAAGATGGCCATACACTATTTTTTTTTGTTTGTTTTTTTTTTTAGCCAGCAGGCTAAATGAAAGTGACGAACATATTCCTCCATCCACACAATCAAAGTGGATGGAGGAACTGCCCCACCAGGACATTGTATTCTGACAGCAGCATCCGTAGCTGTCTCAATACACTTTTCAGCAGCTGTAGCTGCTGATCATGAACAGTTTTCCAATGTGTCCCTTCAACAGAAGTTGATTCAAATAATTGACTTCTGTCGAGTGGGGATGGCCGCACATTGATCAGAATTCATTCATTCCCTCCTGAACCAGCAGCAATTTGATCAGCCAGATTAAAGTGTAGGTTCACTCTGGGGGAAAAAAAAAATAAAAGTCAGCAGCTATAGATCCTGTAGCTGTTGATTTTTAAGAAAATGACAATTACCTGTCCAGGGATCCAGCAGCATCCTCACCCATGCTAGTTCTTCACTAGCTCTGGCGGCGGCAACCTAAATGTGGACAGCTATGCTGCTTTTGTGTTCACAGCTGGCTGCCCACTGCACATGTGCATGCTGCTGTGCTTTGTGAATAATGGTTCTGCAGTCCTGTGGGACCACAGTGATGTGTCCTAGAAGACTGCGGGGAGGGAGGGGGAGAGGAGGACTAGGCAATCCGAGCGCCCCCCCCCCCCCCAAAAAAAAAAATACATGCTAAATGTGGTAGGGGAGGAGGAGGAATTAAAGCGGAAGTTCCCCTTTTGGGTGGAGTTTCTCTTTAAGTTACATGTTGCTCCGATAAACCGTTAATAGCTGTTACCAATTATAGTAGCCTGCAGCATTTTTATGAACATACAATGAAGATGTTTGTCTGTGATAAAGTGAGATAACAAGCTTCAGGTCATATATAGAGATAAAACAAATCCTCCTATATAAGTTGTATCCATTTATCTTCTGCAATCTCTTCCGTACTACCTTCTAAAACACAAATCAAAGGATTTTTCGCAGCTAAAGCAGACAGGGGGTGGGGATTTGATGTCACACACTGCACAGACTACAGAGGAGAGATCAGTGTAACCTGAGACCTGAATGGAGGCAAAGGACAAACCCATCTCAACACAGAATTGTAAAGAAAAATGCACAGCAGAGGCTATCCTTCACCTGCTGTGTGCTGGCGGGGGGGAGGTCGGGGCATTACCTGGGATTTCAGTCACCTGCTGTGTGCTGGCGGGAGGGTCGGGGCCAGGGGCGGACTGACAACTCATGGGGCCTCCGGGCAATAGGGGATCATGGGGCCCCTGTGTTCTTGCCCAAAGTCAAAGCCTATGAAAAGGGTACCAGGGGCATCTCATGGGGCCCCCTACTGACCCCAGGCCCTCGGGCAGTGCCGAATTTCCAAATGGTCAGTCCGTCCCTGGTCAGGGCATTACCTGGGATTCTGTGGTGTCAAGTTAGACTGTAAGAAGTGAGTCATGCAGATAGCTGAGAGAGTTGAGATCAGAGAGGAACCACACTAGGTGCTTTGGATTGAAGATAGTAAGCATTATAAAGGGATATGCTCTGCTCACTTTTTCAGGTTTAAAAAACAGAATGAACAGCAGTTTTTGCAGTAATCTATTAATAAAAGCAGCTAGTTACAGAACAGAATGTTTCTATATCTCAGTCTTTTGTTATCCACTGTGTAGAAGAACTGGGAGAGAGAGGGCCAGCACTAGTGGCTAGTTGAGCTCAGAAGCAGGGCACATTTGCTGGCAGTGAATATGCAGAGAGTTGGAGAGATCAGGGCGAGCAAAGGGATGGCTTCATCAGTGTGCTGTTTATCCTCCATTATTCAGTCTATAAGTGGAGGTTGTCTGTGTCCTGTTGTACTATAGTCAGAGTGGAATTCCCAGTCCTGGATAAATTATCTGGCAGGGCTGTCTGAATTACAAGACTGCAGACAATTTGATATGCACAACATGCATATGTATATTTTTAAATAAACTTACACATACAGTCAGGTCCATAAATATTGAGACATCGACACAATTCTAAGGTTTTTGGCTCCATACACCACCACAATGGATTTGAAATGAAACAAACAAGATGTGCTTTAACTGCAGACTGTCAGCTGAACGGTGTAGGAATTACAACAGTTTGCATATGTGCCTCCCACTTGTTTAGGGACCAAAAGTAATGGGACAGAATAATAATCATAAATCAAACTTTCACTTTTTAATACTTGGTTGCAAATCCTTTGCAGTCAATTACAACCTGAAGTCTGGAACGCATAGACATCACCAGACGCTGGGTTTCTTCCTTGGTGATGCTCTGCCAGGCCTCTACTGCAACTGTCTTCAGTTCCTGCTTGTTCTTGGGGCATTAACCCTTCAGTTTTGTCTTCGGCAAGTGAAATGCATGCTCAATCGGATTCAGGTCAGGTGATTGACTTGGCCATTGCATAACATTCCACTTCTTTCCCTTAAAAAACTCTTTGGTTGCTTTTGCAGTATGAATTGGGTCATTGTCCATCTGCACTGTGAAGTGGCGTCCAATGAGTAGTGAAGCATTTGGCTGAATATGAGCAGATAATATTGCCAGAAACACTTCAGAATTCATCCTGCTGCTTTTGTCAGCAGTCACATCATCAATAAATACAAGAGAACCAGTTCCATTGGCAGCCATACATGCCCACACCATGACACTACCACCACCATGCTTCACTGATGAGGTGGTATGCTTAGGATCATGAGCAGTTCCTTTCCTTCTCCATACTCTTCTCTTCCCATCACTCTGGTACAAGTTGATCTTCGTCTCATCTGTCCATAGGATGTTGTTCCAGAACTGTGAAGGCTTTTTTAGATGTCGTTTGGCAAACTATAATCTGGCCTTCCTGTTTTTGAGGCTCACCAATGGTTTACATCTTGTGGTGAACCCTCTGTATTCACTCTGGTGAAGTCTTTTCTCTTGATTTTTGACTTTGACACACATACACCTACCTCCTGGAAAGTGTTCTTGATCTGGCCAACTGTTGTGAAGGGTGTTTTCTTCATCAGGGAAAGAATTCGGTCATCCACCACAGTTGTTTTCCGTGGTCTTCCGGGTCTTTTGGTGTTGCTGAGCTCACCGGTGCGTTCCTTCTTTTTAAAAATGTTCCAAACAGTTGTTTTGGCCACGCCTAATGTTTTTGCTATCTCTCTGATGGGTTTGTTTTGTATTTTCAGCCTAATGATGGCTTGCTTCACTGATAGTGACAGCTCTTTGGATCTCATCTTGAGAGTTGACAGCAACAGATTCCAAATGCAAATAGCACACTTGAAATTAACTCTGGACCTTTTATCTGCTCATTGTAATTGGGATAATGAGGGAATAACACACCTGGCCATGGAACAGCTGAGAAGCCAATTGTCCCATTATTTTTGGTCCCTTAACAAGTGGGAGGCACATATGCAAACTGTTGTAATTCCTACACCGTTCACCTGATTTGGATGTAAATACCCTCAAATTAAAGCTGACAGCCTGCAGTTAAAGCACATCTTGTTCGTTTCATTTCAAATCCATTGTAGTGGTGTATAGAGCCAAAAATGTTAAAATTGTGTCGATATCCCAATATTTATGGACCTGACTGTACATGTTTGCCTGAATGGACCCATATCTTTTTCCAACTATATAGTTACATAGTTAGTCTGGCTGAAAAAAGACCAAAGTCCATCCAATTCTAATTAACTGTATAGTTACAAATCTTTTGCCAAATAGAACATTATCCATATACTGTATGTATTTCAAGTGCATATTTCGCTGTTTGCCTGGAGTTCATCTTTAAACTAGAAGTACTGTGTACTACAATCTCCCATAAGGACATCCCAGTTGAGAAGTAAACAATCTGTTTATGTCAAATTCTTTTTCAATCTTCAGGTTTTTGATGGAAGTGGATCATTTTTATCCTACATCAACACTTCTGCTGACCCACTCTATGGTCCACAGGGACTTGCCTTGACATCAGATGGTCATGTTGTGTCGTAGCAGACTCTGGAAATCACTGTTTTAAGGTTTACCGGTACTTACAGTAAATGGACAGCCACAATTTTGTGGGATTTTCTGCACTGGATATGAACCAACTTCAGGATGGATAAAAGCATCTCACCTTTCATCTGAAGTGATCTTCAAATGACTTTCCTTATTTAAACTTCACTCAGCCATGTTTACTTTTCAGCGATGGTTCCTTTCTGTGTCAAATGTTTCATCGCTACACATTATAAGAATAACCTTTCCATTGTAATATAGGACACCATTAATGTGTTAGGGGAGGTCTTCAAACACAATTGGTATAAAAGAAAACTCATCTCGTGCACTTAGCTCTTAGGCCTCTTGGAGAACTGTAATTTATGAATAGGATGCTCCTAATCTGAGCTTCCATGTTCCACAATATCAATTGTTGTCACTCATTGTTTGCCCAGCACTGAAATCTGGAAGCCTATGAGACATGTAAATCTTGGTAGGTATTGTATTTAAGCATAGGATAAATACAACCTTTTGTCTTTAATAACAGTAATGTAATATAGTTAATGTACACGTGTATTCGGGTTTAAAACTTTCCAATGTTGTCACATTTGTAACATTGACTTGCGTCTTCTCTACACAGCCATTTACAATGTATGTGCACTTCTATTTATCCTGTGAACATTGATAAAGCATTATTAACTATGTGATGTTTCATTTCATGCCTTTTCCATTTTTTATACAAAACAGAAAAAAATTGCAATGATAACTTTTGATTATGAAGCTAAAGTGAGAGGGGAATTTTGAGGTCAGGTTATAGTTATTGCCAATTGAGTAATGACTTTTTTTTTTTTTTTTTTTTTTTACAGCCTAGGACACAACTGTCAGCACTAGAAAAGTTGCATGCTTTCTTCTTGTGAAATGCTATTTTAGATGCTTGCATAAGAACTGAAAGAAAAGTGGGTGTGTTGCAGCTAGTAATAGATATTGCCACCTGTATTCAAGGAAGCTTCTGATTGGCTGCTGAGGAGGCAACACACCCACACATTACTTTTTGTTCAGTTACAGTATATACATAGTTCAGTTGTATACATTGGTCCATTGTGCTTTATGTCTCCCAAGAAAACGAGGGCAGTGTGGGGCCTTGCTGGATAAATAGCCATAAAAATATGTGATTATGGGCCAATGTTACATTTCTTTTATCAAAATTTGAGGTACTTTATTACTATTTAATTGCATATATATTTTTATTTTATTTATGTGATTTAAGTCATCTTTAATACCATTGGTAGATAAAGTCACAAAGCTTAAATGTGTTAAGGCCAAACCTGCCTGTGTAGAGGCTCTGCGTTGGACTACGTTTTGAATGTATTTATATCCATTCCAGTTTTTATATACTTTCCAATTTTTAGTACAAGAAACATTAGATTTGTTGGGTTAAAATAGCTTCTTAAAGCTTACCCAAACTGATGTGTGCCTTCACAATGCAATCTTTCAGCAAAACCCTTAAGGTAAATTCATGTGAAGGGTGCCTGCAAAAGATGGAACAAATATATTGACCAAAAATTAAATTGCTTTTAAGTGGCAATAACAAACAAATCCCTAATCTTGTATAAAATCCCTAATCTTGTATAAGTTCAGGTTTTAATGATCCAATTGTTTGTATTTCAATATCGCAGCCAAAAATAATGTCCAAATTATACATTTATGATTTGATGAACATTTAAAAAAGCAAATCCTTACATAGATGTCATATTGATTTTAGCTGTCCTCTAAATATGGTATAATATTCACAGCTGTACAGTTAGTCATTCCTCCTAAATCCCAACTCTGGGCAAATAAAAAAATATACCTTGCAGTGTCGCCCACAGTTAATTGCTTGTATTTTTCTAGAATCCTCCACTCCTCCCTTCAGACTGATCCCAGGTGGCGTCTGCACCACCACACTCCACAGGTCTTTGTGTCCTAATGTCATCAAGTCCAGAGCAGGGTCCAAAGTCCTGCTCTGGATGAACAGTCCCACCTGGATCATGCAAAGTGTGCCATCTGCTGGGGTAGCAGAGGATCAGGAAAGTAAATGGTTTCTCCTCTCCCCTAGACAAAAGGAGAAATTAACCCTTGCAGTGTGGACACAGCCCCACTGAAAGGAATTATTTCTAATTTGCCTGTAGCTGGGATTTGCAGCTTCAGTCTGCTGAAAAATCTAGGACTGCACTGTTGGGTTTATTTACCCAACAGGCAGAGCGAGATCAGCATATTATGGCCAAGGGAAATGTGTTAATATGGCAACTCAGCTGCAAAGCTGGTATGCTGGGAAATGATCCATGCCCCCTTCATAATCTGTGAGCATTCATGCATTGCTGTTGGATGCACTGTATTCATCTCTGTAGTGACAATGGGAGGCAAAAGACTATTGCTGAGAAATGTGCATTCAGACTATTGATCTTGTAAAGGACATATGATCCAGTATATGAAAAAGCATTAACAGCAACTGAAAGATAACAGTCCTTAGTAATAGCATTGTTCATTGGTATCCCATAGATGTTATGTATGTAGCATATCATTTGTTTACAAGGAATGATTTTCTTGTTATGATATGTGTAACATTTTAGAGCTGTCCTATTTAAACTTGTATCCTGACATTTACAGTTTTGTCTTTTGACTTGTAGAGAAGTTGCATTTTTTGCTTGCACATAATGCTGTATCCTTTTTAAAGATTGAAACCGTTTCCAATGATAATCAAAAATATCAACATTGACATTGCATTACAATTTCTTTACTGGGCAAAACAGAATGCCACTAATGGAACCCAATGTGTGAGTCTGAAAGATTGCTTTATTGTGCTTTTTCTAAAATGGCTGAAAAGAACATTTAATTTAAAATTTCAAGCTGGTACCTGATTTTCTACAATAGTTTTGTGAAAAAGAAATTAAATATTGAAAACCACTAACTTCTACTTATTATATCCCTATCTCTAGTTTGTGAGAGTGAAGTCTTTAAAATGGAATTCCAGTCAAATTCTAACTAAGCCTAAATCTACTCCCATCCTCATTCTAAGACTACTCTATCTACCCTATAAAAGGAAAGATGTCTATACTTAACTATTCTAAAGTCGCTCCAGTCCGGTCACATGATCAGGTCCTGGTGCCGGCTTCAGTGTAGAGGAGAGGCAGCAACAACGGCTGAAGAGCCTGGGTGATAGCCTTACTAAAGGGCAGCCATTGTCAGCTGTCCCTCTTCTACACTGAAAGCAGTGCTGGAAGTCAGTCATTTGACCAGACCAAAACAGCTTCAGAATAGGCAAGTATAGCCATTTTTTTGCTTTTACAGGGTAGATAGTTGTAAAATGGGGGTGGGAGTGGATTTAGGGTTCGTTAGAATTTGACAGAAATTCCAATTTAAGGATAGATGCACTTTTTAAACAGTTTCCTAATATATCCAGACAAATTAAGCAAGTGTGCAAATATAAAATTTTTCTTGCTCTTTCTGTTCTTAGAATTACTATCAAGAGTCTTGCCAGTTTAAATGTACTTTTGTTTACTTTAATGCCATTGCAGTCTAAAGCCCCATACACATGGGCAAAATATTGACTGGTTCAATAGAAACCAGCTGACATTCGGCCATGTGTACACCCACCTGTCCGACAGAAATTGGCCGAAGGTCAGCTTCTGTCAAACGGGCATGCTGGAAAACTATCCACCAATGGCTGCTAGCTCTGAACAATGTATTCTGGTGGGATGGAGCAGTCTCCCTGTCAGAACACTATAGCTCAGCAGGGAGATCGCTGTACCAACATCAGACAGTACAGCAAGCTCCTCACGAGCTCTTCAGGTTTTTTTTTTTTCGTTCAGCCCACTGAGCTTTGGGCTGTGAGTATTTACACCTTAGCACCCTTAGATGTGCATGCTTCTAAAAGCCTACTTACAGTTTGCCTCCAGAGGTTATATGGATTGACCTCAGCCAACCAGTCTTTGGAATTGCAGCCTTCTGTAGGTCTTCTTTGTGTACATTCTCTACGCATACTCTTTGCACTGAAGGTATGTGGCCTGTAACGGTTATTTTTATGGATAATGGAAATGAATCTGTCAGCTGAGCAATATAACATTTCATTTGTATCACAAGGTGCCCTTATAATTTATTATCAATTAAAAAACTATCTTTATAAAGCAATCCCGTGTAATGCTAGACTATAATCATTGCATCTCATGCAAAATCGCTGAAAGAGGCAATATAGTGAAGTAGCAAAGTCTCAGATTGTAACTGGTTTACTTGGCAAGAAAGTGCAATGATGTGTTGTGGCTCATAGCAAATAGACTAACTTTCATTAGGTTATTGGAGTTGAAATAATGAGGGCATATCTTGTTACTGTGGTGAACAATGTATCATTGATGTTTGCCCAAGTTATTAAACACTTTGTCCATTTCCATTATTGGCAAACCTTTTTCTTTTTTTACAGATTTTTATTAAAACACTGAAGTAAGTGAGAAAAGAGTGAGAGAGAGAGAGAGCGTAGAGCGAACAGAGAGAAGAAGCAAGTTGGATTAAACTTTGAGGTCATGCTCTGGCTATACTGTATCTCAAACTGGTCCTGCAGCAGTAGAATCTTGTTTGAAAAATTTAATGTTTGGAACATTCAATCGATCCTCTAAATATTAGGTTCAAATCAATGATCCAGTGATTGTTTTTGACCACAGTGACAAGGAAAATCAAAGGAGAAGGATGGAAAATTTTTCTCGAGTGAAATTCTAACTGCGAATGTAATTTTAGATGTAGGAAAAATCATACTTACTGTAATGTGCATCCAGAAATCTAACAATAAATCTGAAACATTGGCATGGCAATCAAACTAAACTGAACTCTGTTGAATCCATAACGGTACAAATTATTTTACTGCTGGTTCACACCAGAACACTGTCCGGGAAAAAGGCGCATTCCTTTCATGTCACCGCATTTAAAACGCACTGGGTGTGTGATCTGTTGTGGGTGTCAATATGTTCTTAATGAAACGCAAAACACATTTTGCAGTACCATGCGATCTGGTAATGTGTTTTTGAAAAGTAGTGCATGTAGT